AATTACTCTTGCGTCAAAAACAGGTCCTCGCTCACTGTGCCACTGGATCCCAGTCGCCTGTCCCCCATACTCCTCCTGCAGGGACCAGTGATTCTGGCTCCTCTGAAGTGTCCACATGGTGGTGGTGGGGTCTCCACTGAGGATGGTGTGCAACGCTTTGTAAAAGTGGCATGTCTGCGGCTCTGCACCAGAGTGACTGTTAGCCTCACTTGCCTTCTGGTACACCTTCCGCAGCTCCTTGGATTTCACGCGGCACAGCTGCAGGTCCCTCTTTTAGCCCTTCTTTCTCCTACATGCCCCAAGCAATCTGCTGTGATATCAACATTTTTACGGTTGGATCAGAGCTGTGCCTGCACAGCCTTTCCCCCCCACAGATGCAGGAGATCCACCACCTACTGTATACTGCAGGGAGAGGCATGTCTGCAGCATGTAGCCAGCATGGTCAGGTGGGCAGTCGTTAGGTAAGCTCTCCACGCCAAGGAAACAGGAAATGAAATTTCAAAAATTTGCTTTAGAGGGGAGGGGCATATACCTATGTACCTGGCTACCAGGCAGCGGAGTTCAAAACGGTGACCAAAGTGGTCATAGTGGGGCATTGTGGGACACCTCCTGGGGCCACTAAAGTTGACATAAGTAATGCAGTGTCTTCAGTGACATTGCGGTGACCTAACTACATCGACCTAAGCGCTACATCTCTCATGGAGGTGGAGTTATTAAGTCGGCATAGTGGGCGAGTTACATTGGTGGGAGCAACATTTTAGTGTAGATGCTTATAGAGTTAGGTCGATGTAAGCTGCCTTGTGTTCACCTAACTCTGTAGACCAGACCTCTGAGGTGGTCTGTTTTGAACTCAACTCCCTCAGCAGCAGGAACTCTGGCAGGAGGACTTTATCTCTGACATTTCTAGTGGGGGAGACCCCAAATAGTCTCAAAGCTGTAGTAAACAGTGCTCTGCATTGTATCCAGAAATTAACACTAACCACACACTAATTTAGAGAGGAATAGGTGTCAAATGTCAGGGGAACAATTGGTGGTACTCTTCCAAGCTCCGCCACAAAATAAGATCCACCCATTCATGACACCACAGGGAGACATTGCTCACAGTAGATTCGGCAAGAGTTCAACATATGATTGTGTATACTGTCTGAGCTTCATTGGGCTCCTTGAGTTTGGCTCCCACTTGATGGGACTTGAACATGCTCATGAGGTCTGCTGTGCTCTTTGGGTTTGGCTCCTTCTTGACAGAGGGACAAAAATACATGGTGGTAACTTCCAAGCACCCCCCAACACACCACTGACTTGTGGCACCACAATGAGAGTTCATTCACAGTAAATGATGCACATCTGTGATTCACCCTTTTCTTTCTTACATGAGAATGAAACAGTTAACAATGTAGAAAACCTTAGGAACATCCAGGCTTGTAGGGAAAATTTAAGTCGATATTTATGTTCTGCTGTTATAATTAGGGTTTAAATTTGACTTTATACGGTATGTACAGATTTTGTTTGGAGCAGAGTAGGAATGCTACCTGTTTAAGCCTCATTAAAAATTAAGTTTTATGGACCTGATTTTCAGCCCAATTCTCCCTTTTGTGCCCTCACTTTTGCAGATGCAAGTAATGGTGGATGCAGTTGTGATTCCACAATCAATTGTATGTGCATCATTGTCATTTTGATGCCTAACTGCTGGGGTGAACATGCACCAGGAAGTTAGGCATCCTAATGATATTGATCGTGCCATATAAAATGAAGACACATTTTTGTCTTCTTAGACTGTAAACTTTATGGGGCAGGGACCATGCCTTGGTATGCGTTTGTACACCATGTAGCACAATAGGGCTCTGATCTTGACTGGGGCCTCTGGACTCTTTTGCAAAATAAATAATACATTAAAAAAATAAGGTAAAGTGCTGTTTGACCAAATTGCCCAGCACTTGTTTCAAGGACAGTATATCACTATTTGTCATGTGATAAATTAAAAAGTGCAATTAATTAATTTGCATACAGGACTTTGAAGTTGCAGAGTGCAAATTGCAAACTGATTATCATGGGGCAAGTAAGCAGATAAATTGGTCCAATGGCCTATTGAGATCTTGGTTGACTCTTGCAAGGCACTGAGATGTTGTGTTGATGGGTGCTGTTGTAAGGACCTAGATAGACACAGTTATTATGATTGCAGAGCGCATGTGGTAGTGCGAGAGAAAGACTAATTCAGCAAAATGCAGTGAGTTTATACAGCACAGTCTAGTGTAGTGTGCAGTATTCAGCATAGGATAGGATGCAGACTAAATATGCAAGTGCTGTCTCAGGTATCGTTCAGGGTGCAAAGTGCAGAAATGGTTGCATTACAAAGGGCACCAAAAGTGCAAAAGCCAGTACTTTTGCACTGTAGCCGGGACAATGATTGGAGGGTGCCATCTGCAGTGTTATTAACTGCATCTGAACCCATTATAAATCAAGCCTAGAATCAGCTGTAAAATAATCAGTTAGCTCTGATAACAGAGCCAGGCCTCGCGTGAAACCAGTCACCAAACCCACTGCACCATGCCACTCCAAGTAGGAAAGCCACTAGACTCAGTCTGTGCATGCCTAGAGGTGAATTAAGATTCATTAGGACCCTGGACACAAAGAACATTTGGGCCCCCCGCTTGCCGTGGGGCCATGCCCCCTCTCCTCCTCTCCCCTGAGGCCCTGGCCAGGCCAGAAGCCAGAGCTGGGCAGTAGTAAGAGCCACCCAGGGACCCAAGCCACTGTGGGCAGAGCCAGGGGCTGCTCTCTGTGGACAATCTGATTTCAGTTTGAGCAGCCTATTTTGGTTGCCTTTCAACTTGTTCCCAGGCCAATTTAAACTAAATGGAAAAAGCCACTCTCAGATGATGTTTTCACTGCAAAAAAGTTGTGGCTTTACATAGATGTGGTGAATTCGAGATTGCTATCTCAATGTAAAATCCTAGTGGAAACAAACCACTGTAGTTTATACCTCAGCTTAGTTAGTTGAGGTCACCCCTATATCCCCCAACTGGGGTTTAGCCCTACTAGCTACATTAAGGTCAGAACTACCCGTGCCTTCCCTCCACTCAATTTTATATCACAGCAGTGATCCTGGTATCAAAACACACCATTTCTGCAGTGAACCCATAGCCTTTAACTGAAATCAGAGCAGCCACACTGGGGTTTACACTAGTTTAACTAAATCAGTTTAAATCCACCCCTTCAATTAAACCAGGGCCACTTTTACATGCAGACAGCCTCCATGCTTATTAGATCACCTTACATTTGACGCCATCAAAGAACAGCAATGTATTGACAAGGCAACAAAGACAGAGTTAGGGCTACCGTGAGGCCAAGGGTGATGGTGAGGCAAATATAAAAAAAAAAACAAAACCCATGAGCTAGAGTAATGGAGATCAGAGGTTCTCCCATAGGCTGTCGCTTATGATGATCTCGTCTCTCCATCACAGGGCATCTCCTGTGGCCTTCTCCCCTGGCACCACTTTTACACCAGTGTAACTCCCTGGACTAGCAGCGGAGCTACGCTGGGGGCTGGAGCCCGGAGCCCCGCGGCCGGGAGACGGAGCACGCGGCCGAAGCCTGGGCGAAGGCACCGGGGTGAGCCCGAGGCTAGAGCCCGCCGCCGCGCGCTGGGGGGCCTGAGCCCGGATCCCGAAGCTCCGCGGCGGCTCCAGCGGGCAGGGTCGGGGCTGGGGCTGGCTGGGGGCGAGGCTGGCGCGTGGGCGGGGCCCGCTAGCGGAGCGGCACGTGGTGGGGCCGGGCGCACGCGGGAAGGAAGGGACCCTGCCTCCGGCCTGGCTAACGGTCGCGGCGCTGCGTGGGCCCTGCCCTGTCCGCCGGCCCGGCGCGAGGAGAGACGCTGTGAGCGGGGGGCCGGGCCCTTGGCCCCTTTGGGGCGGGCAGCATGGTGACCAGGGCTTCGGGCGCACTGTAGGGCCGAGGGACCCCTTCCCAAGGCTGGGGGGATGCGGCTGGGGCCCTGGGGTGGGTGCTCCATGGCTCAGTTTCCCCACAGGCTGCTGGGAAGTGGGGCTCTGCGGGAGCAAGTAGGCACCGCACCTCCTGGCTTAAAAGCTTAGCGCTCCCGCGTGGCACCAACAGCCTGTGACTCAGGGACATGGTTATTCCCATTGTACAGTCCGGAAACTGAGGCCCATGGGCGAGGCTGGGATTTCCCAGGGGCCTAAAGGAGTCCGGGATGCTTCTCCCATTGAAAATCATTAGGAGGCGTGTGCTTCTCCTAGGGCTTACTTGGCAGTTATTCTGGTGCAAGGAGGGGGGTGGATTTAAAGCTCTTTGGCTATTACAGAGTAGCCGCCTATGTGGATTCCAGAATAAAAGGGCCTCTTGTCAATTCCCTTAATCCAGAAGTGGATTAAGGTAAATTGGGAAAAGGCACTCTTATTCCAGAATAAGAGCCTCCATATGGGGCACTATGGCAGAATGCTTTAGTCTGTGATCGCTAGGGTGACCAGATGTCCCAATTTTATAGGGAGAGTCCTGATTTTGCGGTCTTTTTCTTATATAGGCTTCTATTACCCCTCACCCCCGTCCTGATTTTTCACACTTGCTGTCTGGTCACCGTAATGATAGCTGTCTTGGTCAGTTTTCCCCAGAGATAAACTCTTAGGCCCTTCTGAAAATCCCAGTTTAGGTGATTTGCCTAAAGAGTTACAGCGAGCTAATTGCAGAGGTGGTAATAGAACACAGAGCTGTCTCCCATTTGTATGCATTGCCCCAGAAACCAGCCTCTTCCCCTCAGTGCTGTTGCCAAATATGAAGAACACTGTTTAGATTTTAGATTAGCATTGTGTCTATTTCCTACTGATGGAACGGTTGTTTCTGGCTTTGCCACTGACTTCCTGTGTAAACTTGGTCAAGTTCGTTTTCCTGTTATTCCTTTCCCATCTATAAAATAGTGATTTACTTTTATCTCTTGGTGGTGTGAGACTTCATTCTTTAGCGTTTCAGGGCTTCCTGAGCATCTGATGAAAGACGCTCTAGAACAGGGGTAATCAATTATCTTTTTGTCGAGGGCTAAATTTCTTGGTCAAGGTTTAGACTCTAGATAAAATAAGATTTTGCAGTCCATCCAAAAGCATCTGGTGGTCTGGATTTGGCCTGCGGTCCACCTATTGATTACACCTGCTCTAGAAGTACAAAGTTTTATGGTTAAAATCAACTGAATGATTTCCTTGAGTGTGCTCTACTTAGGTTAAATTGAGGTGTTGTAATCTATTCAGTGCATGTTAAGCCAGGCAGTTTTATTTAAGGTGTTGGATGTTAATGCTTAGCAGGAGGAGTATTTTACTTACATCATTCTTGTTGGAGATGCATGAAGCTGTAGAAACCATTGGGCTAAGTAGGAGAAACAGTTTTTCAGGAATTGTCAGTAATATAACTAGATCAAATATTTGAATTGTGTATGTTTGCTTCAGTCAACCAAACAACTTGTTCAGTGCTGCTATATTTGTTATTTATAACATCTCACCTTGATATGTTAATTTAGTGATACATTATGTAGTGTATAGAAGCAGGGGTCTGTAATTATCTAATAATTTTTTTTATATGCCAAGTTTCTTAATCTAAGATGCAGTACTTTATCCTCATTAAATTCTTGGCAAGGTAGAAGTCTTAAAAATACATGTTTGATTTAAAATCAAACAAGTGTCTGAGTAACTTTCAAAGTGAAAAACACACTAACATAACTATGGCCATTTATTGCTCTTCAGAACTTTCCAGAACAGTTCACTTTTGATCTGAGTCCAAATATGGAAAACTAACAGGTACTTTACAAAGTGCTAGCTCTAGCAATAACTATAACTTCTCTGCCATAACACAATACAGTAATTTATTTACAAAACAAGGTCCTTGAAATTTGTAGATTTTTCTGCATCTATGGAAACTTTGTCACTGTCTGTGATCCTTTTTGATAATAAAATTCAACTGCCACACTCAGGGGCTGGGTTTGTGAGGTGATAAGGAGAGAATTTTTATTCTTACATTTTTCATGAGTTAATTGGCTATTTCTCAGACTACTTCAACTCAGCTTTGCATAATTGCAACACTTTTTGAAACTTAAGTTGAAGGCTGTATTAAGAGGGACAAGAATGAATAATCTTGCATGTATTTATCAATGTTCTGGAGCTTCCATCGAGGCTTTTGACAAGTTCTTAGTTTCATTACACTGTATACTTGAGGGATAAAGTTATGTTGGTTTGTTAGGATTCCATTGAGCTCAGTTTGCTGCTCACTTTGGGTAATAGGTTTAGTTTTACTTCTGTACAAGAAGGGTGAGCTAAAATAGTGCAGGCAGCTTGCTTCTTACAGAGACAAGGAGTTTTCAGTAGCTGCTGCTCAGAAACTACTTATTTGAAGACCTAATTACAGTATGCACTGTATGTAGCATGTGTTGGTAGTTGATTGTATATAGCCTGAGAAACAGTACATGGCTTTCTTGCAAATTTATTTCCAACTAGCAAATTCTTTAACATATACAATAATGCAGTACTGCATTGTACTTTAACTTCTGGAACCCAAGGCCAGGTGTATATTACAAAGTTTGGTCAATATAAGTTCTGTTGGCGAAAAGCCGCCACAGTTAGTACATCACGTGTGTGTGTGTGTGTTCATACCTGGCTCCTTGCATCAGCACTGTGTGTACTCACCAGGAGTGCTTGTGTTGATGCGCAGTGTACTATGGTTAGGTATCGCACTGTACCACTTGCCTCCATCCAGCACACTGTCTTTTGGAAAATTTTGACAATGCCTGGTGGGGTAGAAATGAGTCATGCAGGGGTGACTGCGAGCAAGGGGTCAAGTTCCCATTATGCAGTTTTCTCCATCCCATAATACTATCCACATCCCATACATTTTGTATCTTTTAAAAAAAATTCTGTAAATCCATGTGGCACTTTTTGCTGTCTGCCATCTCTGATAGAAGCATGGAGCCCTCACAGTTATGCACTATTGTGTTTGCAACACACATGACAAGATCCTCCAGTATTTGCAGAGCCACGGGAAGAACCACAGCAATGGGGAGACATGATCATTTCAATGAGGACAATTTGCTGTGGGACATAGCAACAACTAATTCAAGGTTGTTGGTGGCATTCACGGAGCAGCTGCAGATGGTTGAACACCACTCCTGGGCACAAGAAATGAGCACTGACCAGTGGGATTGGATCATAATGAGGGTTTGGGATGACAAGCAGTGGCTCATCCTCTGTCTCTGTGCTGATCTCGCTCCAACTCATGGACACCGGAAAAAGAGCTGCAAGCAGCTGAGAAGCAGTTGGCGATTGGACTGTGAAGGCTTGTAATGCCAGATTCCTACCAGTCAGTGGGCAAGCATTTTGGAGTTTGAAAATCCACAGTGGGGGCTGTTAACAGACTTGTGTTGCACAGGAGTATGGCTCTCGGTAATGTGCATGACCTAATGAATGGATTTTCTGCAATGAGGTTCCCAAACTGCAGTGGGGTGATAGAAGGCACGCATATTCCTATTTTGGCTCCAGCCCACCTTGCCACAGAGTACATCAATAGAAAGAGCTACTTTTCTATGGTTATGCAAGTGTTAGTGGATCACCACCAACTGACATCAATGTTGGCTGGTCAAGGAAGGTGCGTGACACAAACATCTTTAGAACATAGAACTGTTCAGAAAACTACAAGTAGGAACATTCTTTCCCTACCGACAGATTACCATTGGCCATGTTGAAATGCCAGTACTGATCCTGGAAGACCCAGCTTATCCCTTGCTTCCCTGGTTCATGAAGCCATACGCCGTCCATCTTGACAGCACCATGGAAAGAGTCAACTACCATCTCAGCAGAAGCAGAATGACAGTTGAATGTGCTTTCGGTAGATTGAAGTGATTCTGGTGTTTACTCACAAGATTGGATCTCAGCGAAAAGAATATCCCAATGATTATAGCTGCCTGTTGTGTCCTGCATAATATCTGTGAGGCAAAGGGGTAGAAGAGGGCAGAAGTGGAGCAGCTTTCTGATGAGTTTGAACAGCCAGGCACAAGTGCTATTAGAAGAGCACAACATAGACCTATGAGGCTGAGGGAGGCCTTGAAAGAGCGCTTTAACTGTCCGCCACCATAATGTAGTGTGGTGAATTGTGCTCTACCTGGACATGAAGTTTTGGGGCCTGTTAAGAATTATGTGATGCTTGGTGTGCATTTATATGAATAATACAGTCAGTGCATCTGTTAATTATACAGTGCTTGCTGTACATTTATAATTATTACACTGTTTGTCACTGATCCTATGAGAGCCTTTGCCCTGTACAATCACAAGTAGTGGGCGCTTTGAGTAGCCGTGGGCAGATATTTAAAAAAAAATTGTTTTGTATATCAACCACTTGCAACAAAAACTGATTAAAAAACAAATGCGATGAAAACTTTTGAAATAAGTTCTGCTCTATTGATTTACTAAGGGAAAAGAATATTCATCTCCATTTCAGTCTATTTTTGCTACACATCCAGCAACCGTGGCCAGTGTATGTGAAGCTGTGGCTGTTTGTACTGTCCCCTGGCATGGAGTGGTGGGGGTAGGAACGCAGCCTCTGATGTCACATGGAACATTGGGGGTGTAGGGAGGTGCTAAAATGGAGTTCTCCATTGACTACCGAGGGAGGCGAGCCCATGCTTGTTGAACTTGTAGGTCAGCAAGAGTCTGCAGTATTAGTGCTTGCTCCTGGAGAAGTCCCATTAGGTCTGGGTGCATTTCCCTCTACTTTTCCTGCTGTGACTCCTTTCTCCATATTGTCAGCAGTATTCGCCCGCCAGGCCTTCTGTTCACAGTCCGATGCAGCACTGACTTGCAGGATCTTGTTGAGCTTATCCTTCCATGTTGTCTCCTTTCTTTTCCTCATCAGGGCCAGGTGTTCCACAGGTGAGGAGGGGACATCCCTCAAGGCTGCAACGGCAATAGCCACAGATAAAACACAAAGACTCGTCACTGTATTTAGTTAAAACAGAAGGTGAAAGTTAATGTTCAGAACTCATTCCCATAAAAGTTTTAAACAAGACATTCTTATTGACACTTCAGCTTTGGAGCACTTTGGCACAGCACCACCCTCTGGTCCCAGGCACAGTGAGTATGCCCTATGAGGGAAATAGGGGGGAGGGGGAGGGAATTGTTTGATTGCCTGAAACAATAAAACGTTGGTCCTTGTTTCCATGTATGAATGCAGGGCAATGGCACTGAGTAGTGCCACTATTTTCACAGGTGGTGATTTTTAGCTGATATTTCGCTCCTGAGGGTAACAAAGGCACAGAGAGCACAGCTGCTGCTGGCATTCCAAAGCCTCCTGGGTCTGCATGCTGTTAGCCTGTTTAAAGCAATGGTGCCTGCCAAAGTCATTGTGACTGGCACAGGAAAGTGTCCTATTGCAGAGGAAGAAATAAGACTGCCATCTCCAGAAATCTTCAGGAGAGGATTGCAGAGTACATCCATGGAAGTTTCATTGAGATCTCTCAGGAGGATTCAGGGGACATCCCTGTGTACATAAACATTTACACATCTCTTCTCTTCTCTTTTCTCTTCCACCCCTTCCCCCCTGCCAATGTTGGACTGCTATGTCTTCTAGTACAAGTAAAACAACGAAAAGTAGATACCTTTGTCCTGCGAAGTTGGTGTCTGGCACCATTTGTACATTTAAACGTTGTAATGGAAAAGGTATTCACATATTTACTCAAGGTTCCTTCCTGTGCATCAGGCTCAGCTGGCGGGATTGGCTAAACCAGGGGTAGGCAACCAATGGCACACATGCCAAAGGCGGCACGCGAGCTGATTTTCAGTGGCACTCACACTGCCTGGGTCCTGGCCACTGGTCCGGGGGGCTCTGCATTTTAATTTAATTTTAAATGAAGCTTCTTAAACATTTTAAAAACCTTATTTACTTTACATACAACAATAGTTTTAAGAACAGGAGTACTTGTGGCACCTTAGAGACTAACAGATTTATGCTAAAATAAATTTGTTAGTCTCTAAGGTGCCACATGTACTCTTGTTCTTTTTGTGGATACAGACTAACACGGCTGCTGAAACCTGTAACAATAGTTTAGTTATATATTATAGACTTATAGAAATAGACCTCCAAAACATTAAAATTTATTACTGGCACGCGAAACCTTAAATTAGAGTGAGCAAATGAAGACTCGGCACACCACTTCTGAAAGGTTGCCGACCCCTGGGCTAGACTGTAGTGTAGTCTCAAACACGTCCTGCTTGGGATATAGCTGGATGTCTCCAATGCCGCATTGCAGATCCCCCATCCTCCTCCTCCTGCTTGCTGTTAACGGCAGGTGTCTCCTTTGGGCTCCTCCGAGGTATTAGCAGTGCTGTGCAGGGTGCTGGTGGGGTCTCCACTAAGTATGGCAAGCAGCTAGTTGTAAAAGCAAGTTTGCGGCTAGGCACCAGATTAACTGTTGGCCTTCCTGGCCTTGTGGGATGCCTGCCACGGTTCCTCCATTTCCATGTGGTACTGTTGCTGATCCCTGTTGTTTCCCTTTGCCTGCCTCCCCTATTCAGTTTTTCATAGATGACCACATTTCTACAACTGCTCTGTAGCTATGCCGGCACAGCCTCTTTTCCTCAGGCCATAGTACCTCCAGACAGGAGTGTCTAGAATGTGTAAGTGGCATGACCAGTTGGGCAGTTGCACACAACAAGGGAGAGCTGATAGCTGGGCTGTTGGGAAAAGGCATTTCAAAAATTAACATTTGAGGGGGCGGGTTCTGTTCTCCATGACCCCTGGGCAGTGGAGTTCACAGTTGTGACCAGAGCAGTCACTGTTGGGCATTGTGGGACAGCTGCTGGAGGCCTGTAAGGGTCGACATAAGTCATGCAGTGTCTACACTTGTTCTGTGTCAATCTCAGTATGTTGGCCATGGCTCAATGCCATTCGGGGAGGTGGTGTTACTGCATCACCGTAACAGGGTGCTTATGTCGTCTGGAGATAAATTTGAGTGCAGACACACACACTATATCTATATCTATATCTATATCTACCTAACTTTCTAGTGGAGACCACTCCCAAATGCCAAAAAACTCATTGAAAAGCAGAGCCTGGTACAGTATACTCCCAAGATAATCCTTGCCAAATCGAAATTTGATTTTCTTCCTAATATTTCAACTTGTAATACTTCAGAACCCTTGCCTTCAGTTGCTTATCTCTAGTTCTTGAAGAACAGGGGACTATAACAATTAAGTGTTACATCTCCAGTTTTTCTCAGAATTATACTGTTAGTATTAGCTTAACATAGACACGGGTTTACTACAAATATGGACAGCTCAATGAGAGACAGATTTATTTCCGTCCACCATCACTACCCCTTTGAGAGTTCTTTACTAACAAATTCTTGGTCAGGAATGACAAAAATGGTTGAAATTTTAAGGAAGAAACTTAATACACCTTTCTTTTAGGATAATCATTTATACTTTATTTTCTTCATTAGTTTAATAAGCATCGTTAAAACTTTCCTTAAAATTAAGCTATATTTAAGTATTTTAAAAGTCAGAGTTGAATGCTATATCCAGTTTAACACATGTTTCAACTACTTTTTTTTTCCTCTAGGTTTTTGTAATTACAAAATAGTAACTTTGTAGGATGTCAGGGAATGATTTGGGTGTGCATGTTTACAAGATAAACCAACGATTTCATATAAAGAGCAAGGAGACGAAAGCCCCAAATGAATCCTTAAGAAGCCCTCGCGCCTACCCCAACTGCCAAGTGAAAAGCTCTGAGCTTGGAGGTAGAACTTCTGGATTATCCAACAAAAATTTCTTATTTTGTGAGCAAACTAAACAGTTCTTTACTAGTCGTGAGAATGGTTTAGGAGATGCTAGCTCTCATTGCAAGAGTGGAGTGGCAAATGACTTTAACAAGGAAGAGTTTGGATCAAAGATGAGCAAGGGAACGCTAACAGGTGAGAGAAAACATCTTTTAAATAGGGTAAGCTATGTGAAGGCTTACCTTTTTGTAGCACTATACAACATGCCCATACATGTGGTGTGCAGGTGGGAGGGGAAAGACTAATTTAATAAACTTCCTCACTAATCTGAAATTCCAGTTTGATAAAGGTCATCAATCTGAATACAGTTTGAGTACATGGTAACGGGATAACATTAATTTGCCATACGCATGTGTGTATGTAAAAATTATGCACAACAATTGTAAATGTATCTGACTAAGGAATAAAATTCATTAAAGGGAGACTATCAAATTGTAATCCAGTCACTTAAAAAAAAGTTAATAATTTCAGGGACTGCTTATGTCTTGATACCTGGAGTTTCCCCTTGCTTGTTTCAAACAGCAACAAGCATACAATACTCCTGGGAGAATTCTGCACCACTGTGCAATTCAGAATTTGCATGGAATGTTCTGTGCAGAATTTTATTTTTCCCCTGCAAAATTGGCCCTGCAGAGCTGCTGGGGGCTTCTAGACCTGGCAGAGCAGTGAGGATGCAGGCAAAATCATTTGAATGCTGATAGTCTTCCAGTGCTCTTCCTTCAGTCGTCTCCCCCCCCCTGCCTCGCAAGGACAAACAGCTTCTCCCATAATTGAAAGCCCTAGGAAATAATTCTTGAGTGTCTCAACACAAAGAACCATGGGATATATGCCCCTCCTAGGCCCATGGGTAAGTGCAGAAATAGTGTGAAACAGTAATGCAGGTATGGCTTTGCTATGGGGACATTCACATCCAGACTAGGCAACCTGGATGTTCAGATCTGGGTGCCAACCACCTAGGTTAACTGTGCAGTAAAACTAGAAACAATTATTTTAGCTAATATTTCTATTCCCGTAATATTGGGTCTACTAATGGCAATTCAGAATGTTTATTCGGTCTCTCTTTAAATCTTGTGTTTGGGGTCATACTCTTTTAAAGTCACACCCATGGACTTAAGTGGTGTAAAATTTGTATTGATAAGGATGCATGATTTTGTTAATTACTCATCCAACGTCTTGTATCAAGTGATAGACTGGTCTCGTTTTTATTACATGAGGATACTGTAGTTTCAGTGATGTCTTTGGTAAGAATGATTTGTGTCAAAAATTAATGTTAGTCAATTGTAAAACAAAAAGCTGTGGCACTTGTGTTTTCATATTCCTTGCTCTTAATTTGTAGAAATGGAAGATCTTCAGTTTTCTTAGACAAAATATTATTTGAAAATTTCTCATGCTTTTTGTAAACAATCTGTTAATACTACTCCTGTCTTTGGTTTTCTGAAATCAGACCATTTTGTAAACAATTCTTTGTTTTTAGGAAACTCAGTGGAAAGCATAAGTGGTAGAAGTAGTTTGCTGTTAACACCTTCAACTAAGGAAGAAAATGCTGTAAGTTGGGGTTTTGTGCCAAATTGGCAGCTTGTATAATGCTAACAAATGATCACCATATATTTTATGCCTTTCTAGAATATTTGCATTTGTGTTTATTTTTGCTTCATTTTTTTCCTGTTGGCATCACATTTCAGTTTACAATTAACCATTTGTTTTGTTGTTGTTTGCAGATGCAATATTCTTGCTTACAAGTGACCTTATTTGTGTACTTTATCAAATATAAACTTAAACTGCACATTTAACTTATTTTTAAACATAAATGCCCAGTAGCTCAGCAAAATTTTCACTGTTATTTACAGGTGGTCTATAAACTGCCAAGTAAATATCAGAAAAAATATTAAGGGTTTTAATGAGAAGGTACCTATGGCTCACATTTAAAAATTGGCATTGGAATGGTGATTTGCTAACAGTATCAGAGATACAGTGCGCTGGTCAAAATTAAAGACATAATTTGAGAGATGCAGTTAATCTCCCTCCCCATCCATATTTATCTTGTAATGTAGCTTCTCCAATATTCCTCTGAAAATCACTGACTTGACAAAGATGGAAATTTAAAAGACCCTTGTTTTGTTAAAGGCCATCTGTTCTCCACTAAGCCAATAAATTGACTTCTTCACTGGATAGTGGTCTAGAAAGATCCTGGATCAAATGTAATCTTTGAATCTGTAAGAATTTAAGACTGATGTGAGTCCTAAAGTGATGTTCATACGCTCGAAGAGGTCATAAATGTAAAGTTTTTGAGGTGCATGAAATGTAGGGAAACTGAATGACCCGGTTCCTCTATCCTGTTTTCTCTCTAGGTTGCTGGTCCAAACTTAATCCAGGTGAGTAAAAAATTAACATTTGGCCATTCAGTCGGATGAATATTGTACTCACATGAAATAAAGTAGAAATTTTGAAAAAAGAAACTTGACAAATGTTAGAGAAGTTTGTGATATACCTACTTTTAAATGTACTTGTCTGTTGTAAATTTCTTCTTTCTGGGCTAGTTATGTTATATTTCTCGCTTCTATTCTAATAATTTTTCAAAATTGTCCTCTGTTTGTAGGTCTCCTACTTTTCCTTTTTTTTCTGGCTGTTGTCTTGCTCTGCTTTTTGTTGGTCGTTTTCTCCCTATATATATTTTTTTCTCTCCATAGTCACTGGCACACTGAACAAACAGCATTCCCTAACTTATTGACAAATACCAATTTGCTCATAGCATTTTCTCAATAAGATTTTTAAAATGTCTTTATTCGATTTAACTTAATTTGGTTCTTCACTGATCTGAGTGTTCACACTATGGTTTGCACTGATTTAAGTTAAACTGCTGCTAACCTGATTTAGTTACATTGGTGAAAAAACTGTATGTAGGCCAGCCTTCATGCTACAGTGAGGTAAGGTCTTTAATTTTAAATGTCTAAAATCTGTTTGAGGCCCGCACATGTGAGACCTAAAGTTGACATTTTTTCATAACTAATGCTGTGTATCTTTTTTTACCAAAGAGTTACTAAATAGCATATGAAGGCTGTGTCTACAATAGCACTTTTCTCGCAAAACTTTTGTCGCCCGGGGTGTGAAAAAAACACATCCCTGGCTGACATAAGTTTCACTGACAGAAGTACTAGTGAGGACAGCACTATATCGGCAGGAGATGCTCTCCTGCCAACCTAGCTACCACCGCTTGTTGGGGATGGTTTAATTTATGCTGATGGGAGAAAGCTCTCCCGTCGGCATAGAGCAGCTACACGGGAGAACTTACAGTGGTGCAGCTGCAGCAGTACAGCTGTGCCGCTGTAAGATCTGTAGTGTAGACATAGCTGAAATCACCTACTCTTTACTCTGTCGTAATAGTGATAGTAGCTGGCAAAGATGCAGTTTCAGAACTTCTTTGCTTTTGCATGACCTTTATTGTTTCCTTTAGATAACAATTCAAACAAAATATAATTAGGTGTAAGAATCAAATGTAAAATAATTTGCTGATGCATTATTCATTAAATGGTCTAATTACAGAATTGTAAATAAAACTAGTAGCTGAAAGCCATGCTGTTGCATAGGCATAATTTTTGTTTTTGGGCAGGGGGGAGCCAAAAATGGTTGAGAACTTAAAAATTGGACAGTAGCAGCCTGTGAATCCCAGTGATATTCTAAATAAAAAAAGTTTTCAAGCATGCTTGTAGCTGTTTCTATCTGTTTTACATTTTAAAGGTTGGGATTTTTTACTGGATTAAAGCATTTAGGAGCTACACAAATTTGTACTATGAAAAGAATTATTCAATCTCTCTGTTGATCCTGGCATCTTCTCTTGTTAATCAAAAGGTACCCCTAAATGATTGTGATCCACAGTTTGTTAGTTAAGTGAAACAGCTCTATATTAGTTTTAAAAAATTAAGAATCTGCTTTAAATATCTGTTTTCATTGCTATTTTAAAGTGTGATCAGGACCTTGAGCAAGTTTTATTCAATTAATACTGAAAACTTAATTTGGTAGCTTTATCTGCAGTTATTTGTAAAGAAAGTAGTATGTGCTTTGGAATTTTGAGAACTTGTAACTTTTCTATACTAGGGTAAGCAGTTCTAGAATTGTAGGTATTCTGTATTGGAATATTACTGCTTTAGGGCTTTGAGTTCCTGTTAAAAAATATTATTTGAGATTTGTGTTCTCTTACAGAGCTCCAATTCTGATTTGCTGCACACAAAGCAGAAAAAGATACAGAATTCCCCTGAGAATATTTTATCTATAAGCTACAATTCAAAACTATTTAATTCGTTAATGCCGACCCCTCGGATGACTACTTGCCATCATTGTGGTCTGTATGGTAAGCCTTTATTACTATCCCGAAGGCCTGCACATACAGTATTCAAGTTGGACTAGGCTTTCAAATATATATGTGCAAAAGACTCTTATAAAAATGTAGATATTAAGCCATCTCCCCCAGACTTTCACTTTGAAAGAAAGTGATATTTTAAATTGGCATAGTAATTCTGTAAAACATAAATAGCAAGGATTTCAAAAGCATCAGACAAAAACTATTAATCAGGCAAATCAATCAATGAATCCATGCTTTGAAAAATCCACAGTGACACCACACAGATGAAAAAGCAAATGCTTAAGTGAAAAATTAATGAAGTACAGACTGGCCTTCTAAAACAAAAAGATAATAGTAGATTAAGTTAATCATAAATGTGTATTCTATAACTTGACAGCTCTTTTTGAGAGAATGAAGGTGGATGAGAAAATATTTTATTGGACCAACTTGTGTGGATGAAAGGGACAGGCTTTCGAGCCTTGAAAGCTTGTCCCTTTCACCAACACAAGTTGGTCCAATAAAAAATATTACCTCACCTATCTTGTCCCTCTCATATTCTGGGTCCAACACAGATACAGCACTGCAAACAACTTTTTTTTGTTCAGATTGTGCCTCTTCCCTTCTTTAGGTTAGGCACAGTACTGACTTTTTGTTGTTGTTAATTTTAGGAGACCTAAGATGTTCTCAGTGTAAACAGACATATTATTGCTCTCCAGACTGCCAGAAGAAAGATTGGTCTGCACATGGTATTGTATGCAAGCCAATTAAACAAAAGTAAGTTTAGGATGTTAAAGCAATATCTTGTAACTCAGAGAATCTTAAAAATAGGCAAGTAAGAATTATTCTTGATTTAATTCCAATTTTTCTTTTACTATCATTCAAATACCTTTTGATGATCTATGTTGCTTGGTCTTATACTGAAATATATTCCACATCATTGTAAATCTGAACATCATAAGAAAATGAGGCAGGAGAGGGCCGGAAATTACAAAAAAAAAAAAAAAAAAAAAAGCTCAAAGGTGACTGAAAAAGACCTCTTACAGCTTTATACTGTCCCTGAATGGCTAAATATAAAATTTGCTGAGTTTTCAAGTGGAAAACATCCCTCTTGTAAGTTACAGCACTGCAAATGAATTTGGGGTGGGAAAAGTCAAGCTGAATTTTTTTTTTTCTGCCTCTTGTTACCTGACTAGTAATAAAGATTTTTGCAGCCAGAACCTACATGTCACTGTGGTGCTACCTCTATTTGCAGCTGCTACATAGTGTTAAAAGAAATTCAAAGCTACTACATGCTTGCTTTATGCTACTCTTCCATATGTACAATAACTGTGGTTACATGGAATGAAATCCTGCCCTATTGAAGTCAATGGGAATTTTGCCATTGACTTCAGTAGGGACAGAATTTCATCCAAGAATGATGTTTGCTCTCTAGTGAGAGAGGAGGGGTTCCATGGATACAAACATTTGCCCTTTACCTTGGGATTCAGTCAAAGTAAAGAACAAACATTTGTACCCTGGAACAGACCTTTGGTGAGCATCCACACTAACCTTTACAAACCTGTTAATTGCCAATTAACTTGAGGTCAAGTCTAAACTCTCATTTAGTGTTTGAGCTTTTTGTCACAACCATAACTAGAGACTTTAAAGAAAAAAGAGAGCTGAGATTCTGGAGAAGACAAGTTTCATAGAGGAGCTGGTACCCCACATTGCTGCTTTTCAGCGTAGTCTAAGAACTTTTTGGCCCAGATTGTTTAAGTTTATATCCTTTCTGTAATAATTAGCAGTGAAGTTGCATTAATTTTCATGTCAAGAAAGTTAAAATAAAATCTTAATTATCAGAATTTTTTTTTAAAATGTATCACTACAAAAAGTGAGACACACCTCAGCATGCGTGTATATTAAATGTACATTTAAAACCTCCCCCAGTTGTCTTCAGATGCAAGAACTGTTACTGCTAGATACCAGCTGTGCAGTATGGTTTAAAAAAATAAAATAAACTGGCCTTTACATTACTTTATTAAGCAGTCTTTATTGAGGATCTAGATGCAGGTTGACATGCGTCTGACGAAGTAGGTATTCATCCACGAAAGCTTATGCTCCGATACATCTGTTAGTCTTAAAGGTGCCACAGGACTCTGTTGCTTTTTTAGGATGCAGGTTTACACTCATAGGTTTACAGCACTTAAGTCACTTTGCTTTGGGTCTATAAGTACCTGTTACTAAAATGGCTTGATTCTTTATTTGCTTGTTCTTGAATACTGTTGTGACATTCTTTAATAGTTTAATCAACTGCTTTATTTCAGTTTAAAGAAAAGTGAAGATAATGCCAAGTTGCCTGGTGAAATTAAGGATAAATTTGATTTTAAGGTACAGAATGTTAACTTTTATTTTAATTGGCTCTGGTTTTTGGAGAAGCCCACTGCAGGTTGGATATAATAAAGATATTTTTAAGTTTAATGTGTTATTGTAACATGTTTTATACATTGTAATGCTCAACTCACTATAGTGAAGAGAATAGGAAGTTAAGAAATTTTGATCGCTTCAAAATACACCGTTGCTTCAAATCAAACGAGCTAGTCTAAGCAGCATTCCAAAATGTTTGTTAAAACTGAAGTTTTTGACAAAAGTAGAGTTCAATTTATTGCTGGATCTTACCTGTGTCAGGAGAGAGTATGATAGATGGCATAGGTAGTGGAGGTTCTGATTGGAGGGGAGACATAAATATAAAATGTCTAAATCTGAAACATTACTTACATGCTTACATTTCCTAACACATTGTATATTGTTACCCTTTTTAGCCCAGGCAGTTAGCCATTATTCGGGAATTTGTGCGTTGTTTCCGCTAGGAAGAGAAAATTGATGAGTCCGGTATTTCTTTGATGCAATATTGTTGCTTTAGAATGTACACATAGTCCTGTTTCCCAGCATAAAAAAATAGGCGGCATTTTCTTTGCTTGCAGTTTCAGGATTCTTTCCAGCTAGCACTCTCGTCAAAAAGCCCTCTCTTAGCTTTCTCTTCTGCTGCTTCTGCCCACAGACCCATGTTACTCCAGCAGACAATACCCAGCCCTTTGTGTTCGTATTCCATCTCCAGTATTTCAGATTTCAACTGGCCTTGCATACTGTCTGTGTTTTGGGCAGTCGCTCCTATTATTTCAGCATCTTACTCCAAAAAAGTAGCTTAACTGCTTACGTTTATCCTTCATAAAGGGCACTATCATGGCCATCAGCTTCAACAAGGTTTCACTCAACTTCCATCATAACTTTTTCCTTTTTGGAAGGTAAATGGAGGGAAACTAGTCTGCACAAACTATTGGGTATAAATATATCTGAGCTTCCCAGTAAGATTAGCTTTCTGTTTACTTTTTCTACTTTAAATCCTTAATCAAGGTTATAGGTCTGATTTCTTTCTTTGCTTTGATGGTAGTTTATATATAGCCATATAAAATAGTCCAGACCTCCAGTGCTTATATTGCAGCATAACTCTCCAGGATGCATTAGTCTATTTAGTTGATTCAAAACAGCAAATGCTAATTGACAATAAAGGTGCCTTGCAAAAGAGGATATACTGATAATGAATTAATACATCCTTATTTCTTGGTTTTTAATAAGTGTATAAAGAACAGAGTTCCTTTTGTGTTCAACTTCAGCTCAGTTTTAAATCTCAGGTTGTGTAAGACTATATGCACTACCAACTAATACAATGAAGGAAATTTTAATACATTTTATTCTTGCATTGAAAAATGCATCTTACAATATAGGATGTCACAGAAAAGCTTTAGTAGATGTGGATCCCAGTATACAGGTTGGCTGATAAGCCATTATTGGAATCCCTTTGCTTGTGTACAGAAGAGAGAGTATTTTATGATATAATAGTAAGGTACAAATTAAATATGGTGCCATTTTGTTATGGTCTGAGCAAATTAGGTATATATTGAAATCAGTGGGAGTTAAGTGCCTAAATACCTTTGAGGATCTGGGCTTTTGAAACTACTTGGAAAGAAGGCATATGTGCTCATACTTTATTGGAGCATTAGCAGCTTCTGAGTCCTATTTTTGTGTTATTTCTAATGCTGCAGGAAGACCAAGTCCCGTTTAATTTCATTTAGATTGCAGGTCATGTTAAACTCTTAAGCAAAGCAGTCCTACATTTTTTGTTTTGTTTTGTTTAAATTGGTAAGTTATCCAATACCAAAGGCAATTGCTGCTCTTTTAGGGTATGTCTACACTACGAAATTAGGTCGAATTTATAGAAGTCGATTTTTAGGAAGCGATTTTATACCATCGATGGTGTGTGTCCCCACTAAGCGCATTAAGTCGGTGGAGTGTGTCCACAGTACCGTGGCTAGTGTCAACTTTCCGAGCATTGCACTGTGGGTAGCTATCCCACAGTTCCCGCAATCTCTGCCGCCCATTGGAATTCTGGGTTGAGCTCCCAATGCCTGATGGGGCAAAAACATTGTCGCGGGTAGTTTTGGGTACATGTCGTCAGTCCCCCCTCCCTCCATGAAAGCAAAGACAGACAATAGTTTCGCGCCTTTTTTCTGTGCAGACGCCATACTGCTTTCAGCAGACGGTGCAGTAAGACTGCTAACCGTTGTCATCCAACCACTGCTTCCGCTGCAACTCTTCTCTCCTGGTGCCATGAATCCACCTCTCAGGTCCTCTTGTCGTTTGGCACAAATATCTATTCTCGTGGCATCCATTGTCATCCACCGCTTCCGCTGCAACTCTGCTCTCCTGCAGACGCCATACCATGGCAAGCATGGAGCCCGCTCAGCTCACCGCTGCTGTTGTGAGCATTGTAAACACCTCGCGCATTATCATGCAGTATGTGCAGACCCAGAACCTGCAAAAGCAGGCGAGGAGGCGACGACAACGCGATCACAACAGTGATGAGGATATGGACACAGACTTCTTTCAAAGCACGGGCCGTGGCAATTTGGACATCATGGTGGTAATGGGGCAGGTTCATGCCGTGGAACGCCGATTCTGGGCCCGGGAAACAAGCACAGACTGGTGCAACCACATAGTGTTGCAGGTCTGGGATGATTCCCAGTGGCTGCGAAACTTTTGCATGCGTAAGGGCACTTTCATGAAACTTTGTGATTTGCTTTCCCCTGCCCTGAAGCGCAATAATACCAAGATGAGAGCAGCCCTCACAGTTCACAAGCGAGTGGCGATAGCCCTCTGGAAGTTTGCAATGCCAGACAGCTACTGGTCAGTCGGGAATCAATTTGGAGTGGGTAAATCTACTGTGGGGGCTGCTGTGATCCAACTAGCCAACGCAATCACTGAGCTGCTGCTATCAAGGGTAGTGACTCTGGGAAATGTGCAGGTCATAGTGGATGGCTTTGCTGCAATGCAATTTAACTGTAGTGGGGCGATAGACGGAACGCATATCCCTATCTTGGGACCGGACCACCTTGGCAGCCAGTGCATAAACTGCAAGGGGTACTTTTCAATGGTGCTGCAAGCACTGGTGGATCACAAGGGACATTTCACCGTCATCAACATGGGATGGCCGGGAAAGCTACATGACGCTCGCATCTTCAGGAAATGTGGTTTGTTTGAACCGCTGCGGGAAGGGACTTACTTCCCAGACCAGAAAATAACTGTTGGGGATGTTGAAATGCCTATAGTTATCGTTGGGGACCCTGCCTACCCCTTAATGCCATGGCATTTTGCCTCTTCTATTGAGGGCCTGCTGCTTTGGTGTGAGAGATGAGACACACAGGGCCGGGCAACAGAATTTGGCTTGCTGGCAGCCATGGTAAGCCACAGTCTTTCAGCTTCTTCAACCTTCATAACATGTGGGAATGGTTTCAAACAGCAGTGCCCTCCTTTCCCATACCAAGCACCCGTTGGGTTGGCCTTTAAAAGGAGGGGCTGTACTGGCTGCGAATGCATCCCAAGTCTTCAGGGCAAATTAATCATTAAACACGCTTGCTTTTAAACCATGCATTATATTTACAAAGGTACACTCACCAGAGGTGCCTTCTCCGGCTTCATGGTCCGTGAGCCTGCCTTGGGAGGGTTGGGAGCGTATTGGCTCCAGGGTGATAAACAGTTCCTGGCTGTTGGGGAGAATGGTTTCTCCGCTTGCATGCTATGCGCTATCCTCATCCTCCTCCACCTCCTCATCTTCCGCATGCCCCAAATCCTCATCCCTGTTGCATGAGATTCCCCCCTTGCAGGTGTCCACGGACAGGGGTGGGGTAGTGGTAGGGGCGTTATCTGGGGCTCTGACCCGGAGCGGCCATTTGCCTCTTTGGTTTTTTGGTAGGCTTGCCTGAGCTCCTTAATTTTCATGTGGCACTGCTGCGGGTCCCTGTTGTAGCCTCTGTCCATCATGCCCTTGGAGAGATTTTTCAAATATTTTGGCATTTCGTCTTTTGGAACGGAGTTCTGATAGCACGGATTTGTCTCCTCAAACAGCAATCAGATCCAGTGCCTCCCGTTCGGACCATGCTGGAGCTCTTTTGCGATTCTGGGACTGCATGGTCACCTGTGCTGATCAGCTTGCCATGCTGGTCAAACAGGAAATGAAATTCAAAAGTTCGCGGGGCTTTTCCTGTCTACCTGGCCAGTGCATCTGAGTTGAGAGTGCTGTCCAGAGCGGTCACAATGGAGCACTCTGGGATAGCTCCCAGATGCCAATACCGTTGAATTGCATCCACACTACCCCAAATTCGATCCAGCAATGTCGATTTCAGCGCTAATCCCCTCGTTGCAGAGGAGTACAGAAATCGATTTTAAGAGCCGTTTAAGTCGACAAAAATGGCTTCGTCATGTGGACGGGTGCAGGGTTAAATCGATCTAGCGCTGCTAAATTCGACCTAAACTCGTAGTGGAGACCAGGGCTTAGACTTCAAAACTGTATGCCTGTACCGGGTGCTTTCAAATACCTTTGTATAGAACAGTGCTCACTTTTGTCAGAAGAGTTGCTATTCTGAGCAAGCGGTGAAGAGCTGAAGGAAGGTAGTGTCTTTGTACTCTTTTTATAGTGTTTAGGCATAAAATTTTCAAAAGCACCTAAGTTGACTTTCTCTGAGACTTAAATTCTTCAGTACCTAAGTCACTTTTGAAAGTTGCACTTGGGTACTTTTGAAAATTAATTAAGCATAAATGCTTTAAAGGGCTACCCTCAGCTGGGTAATATGTAGACAATTCCAATTTAGAAGTCACCTATATTTGTTTCTAAATAGGGCAGTTTAACCCCTGTTGATGCACACAAGATAGAAGATGACATCAAGAAAATAATGCTTTCTGACCTGCAAAATCTAGGGCTCAAAAAAGCTATGGAAATACAGGTACTTTCTCCTTGCCACTCATTGCATGATTAAATTTCTTTTTGGAAAATATTGATACATTTCATTGTCAGCATCTTCTGTGTTGTTCATATCTATTTCTTGGACAGGCAAGTCACTTCACCACTGTATGCGTGTTTCCTCACCTGTAAAATGTGGATAGCAATCCTGGCCCATCTTTTTAAGAGCTGTTCCATCTATAGATGGAACTGCTATAAAAGGGGTGCGGGTGGTATTTTAGAATTGGGCGTTCTTGGCATCAGTAGTGTACATCTATCAGTTCTAACTGATACAGAATATTTATAGTATATAGACGCTCTTCATGTGTCCATTAAATAGTAAACACGGTAAGTTATTGATGACAAGTATTAATGTTAGATACTTCAGTAATATGGCTTTTCTTTTTAGGGTACAGTCACAGAATTCAGGAACCCAAGTGAATTTTATATACAGGTCTATTCTCCAGAAGTTTTAGAACATATCAGCAAACTTACTGTGAAACTGAAAGATTGTTATGCAAATATTGTTAACCAAGAGGAATATATTCCTATCAAAGGGGAAGTTTGTGTTGCAAAATATTCTCTGGATCAGGTAACTTTCTTTTATTTGGGGCCTGGTAAACATTTTTAAAAGAATTTGGGACTGTAAATATCTAAATGTTCTAAATATCTTTTAAATTGTGTGTGTTCACTCAGTTTTATATATTCCGTTTTGTGTTGCATGTAACTCCCATTGTTATTAGCACTTGCATCGAGTGACGAATCTGTTGTAGCATTTGGAAAGTGGGTGTAGCTTATACTGTACTCTTGCACATTCTGAATTCCAACTTTGTAGAAATTCTTGTCTTTTGAGAGAGTTTTCTTTGTCCAAGAGTAGATCATTTTCATGTAATATTTTTTTAAGTTCTTTGTTAAGTTAATTTTCTTTTAAACAGACCCTAAGCAAGTCAAAATAATTACCAGAATGGACTATCTTGCTATTGGTACAAAGGGGCAACCTGCAAATAAGAGTTATACCTCAATTTTTTTTAACCTTAGTGCAGGTCATTTGACCCTCCCCATTTACTTCTGATTCTTACCTGGTGTGTGGCCTGACTTTCCTGACAGCAGTTTTGTTGTTAGTAAAACAACTTATTTCCCCCCTTCGTCGTCATCTACACTTTCTTCTTTCCTCCTCCTCCTTCTTTCCCTCAATGGTACCAGACTCTTAGGCTGTTAGGAGCATTGTCATGATATGTGGTGTCTGTCTAGGGGGAAGGAGGTGGAAATTTCTTTGGCGCAGACTTACTGTGAATCCTGAATGTTTTGTGCTTTGAAATGAACCTTATCTTGGTGACAGTGCTAATTCTTTTTCAGATGGTTTTTGCCCAAAACTATTGCTATACAATCAGTCTTTTGTTCAGTTGAGTTGCTTCAGAACTGATCAATATTTTTTACTTTGTTGCCAACTTGATGGAGTAAAAGTAATTCCTGAAATTATTCCTTTTGTGGAGAATATAATGAGTGTGTAGTTGTGTTTTTACATCCAGAATATCATTTGTTCATGTGTAGACCTGGAACAGAGTACTGGTAAAAAAGGTGGATATCTTGCAGAAGAAAGCACAAGTGTTGTATATCGATTATGGCAATGGAGAAAATGCTCCACTAGATTGGATTAAACCACTCCACAAAGACATTGAACTGTTTCCTCCCTGTGTGAGTATTTCTTTTTAACTTCTAACAGCTAGTTGGGTAAGCAAAAGTTGTATTTAAAATGAACAGTTGTCAATTAAATCACTGTTTCTAGTGGCATGCTATAATTGCAGTTACCACAACATTTTGTAAAAAGATAATATTGCAAGGGTAGTTTGGTATCATTCCTTTTATAATGAGTAGGGATATGATGATGTCATGGTAAAGTTGTCATGGGAGGAAGGATAGCTCAGTGGTTTGAGCATTGGCCTGCTAAACCCAGGGTTGTGAGTTCAATCCTTGAGGGGGCCACTTAGGGATCTGGGGCAAAAATCAGTACTTGGTCCTGCTACTGAAGGCAGGGGGCTGGACTCGATGACCTTTCAAGGTCCCTTTGCAGTTCTATGAGATAGGTATATCTCCATATATTAATTACACATAATTTATGGCACAGTCACAGTAAAAAATAGATGATTTCTCTGTATGATCATGGCAACCTTGTGCACCCAGCTGCCATGCATTAGCAGTTAGCTTGTTTTGAAAATTCAAGCACTGATTAACAGTTAGTTGGTTCAATTTGATCTAGTCCTGTTTCCTCTTTGAAACAGGACTAGATCAAATTGAACCAACTAACTGTTAATCAGTGCTTGAATGGGGGGGGGGGGCTGCCCTGTCCTCTCTTCCACTCAGTGTAGAGCTCCTAGAAGGACAGGGCTGGGTTCTCTGTGGTGGCAGCTCCCATTTTCTTCCTTTTTTGTAGGTCCCCTGGACCTCAATTTCTCCCCCCTTTTCCTATCTCCCTCCCTAGCTGGTTGCTGGGATCTGCTACCCGGGCTTGGTGCTTCACTTGGCAGATCCCAGTCTCCGAGGCCCTAGTCTGGAGATGCCCCTTCGTCCTAGCAGGAAGAGAGCGGCGCTGTCCAGTGCTCTGGCCAGTTGCTCTGCAGAGATCAGCTGAAGCCCGCAATATCTCATCCTGATCACTCTTCCTCCAGTGACAAGCTGGGGTGCGGGGGACTGGGCCAAGAGTGGGGGCAGGGATTGACGGGGTTGGGGGGTATTGGGATTGAGTGAGTTGGGGGGAGATTACTGGGGGCAGTGGCATTCAAAGAGGACTAGATCAAAGTGAACTAGTGCTGTGTTAATGCATGGCAGCAGGATAAATGTCATCATTCGTGGTTCTGTGACGATGGTGAGCTTTCATGGTGGAGTTTAAGTAAATGGCAGAATTCCTGGGTTCCATGACAATGATGACCACCATGACAGAATTGTATGCCTACTAATGATTCAGTTACTGTTAGTAATTCAAAGTTATGGTTTTGTGAAGTTTGTGATAGAAAAATATGCAAGTGTTGAAAGTGTTGGCATGAGTAAGTAAATGTGGTAATTGAAAATTTGTTAAAAGTTATTAGAGAATTTTGGCCTCTGCATATTTCCACTCATGGAAGATGTGCCTCCCAGTGCAGGCTAGACAGGAGAACTTTTGCCAAGCAGTGCTTGTTGAAGCTCAGCTAACACCAGCTAATTTGCCCATCATCTAACATACTGTCACCCACACATCTCACCTAATGCTGAAGCATTCTTGAAATATTTTTTCTTTGAACCTTTACAGATTGCTAATCATTTTAGACTGCATGGTGGCTGTAGTATTTGGACAAATGTTAATTCGCTATCTGGAATGCGTCCCCCAAATTCATTTTCACTTGAAAATTTATACTGAGATCTTAAACTGGTGCTCTATCCCCATACACCTAACATATGATGGGCAATCGTTACCGAGTATGATCATTTTCCATGGGAGTTATGGGTCCTCAGGTGGCTAATAAGGCCAATCCTTGAACCACAAGTTCTATTACAATGAGGGCAAATGTTTTCAGGCTCAGCAGGAGGCTGTTGACCATGACTGGGAGCCAGTCTCTCCTTCCTCCTGCACCTCTTGTCCTCTTCAGCTTGTCGGCGAGCAAGTTCAAAATGCAGGGGACCATCACGTAGGACTTCACTCCATTTTAAGCTATCCTGGGCAAGTGTCTCCCAAGTGTCAATGTCAATATTACACTTTTTTTTAGGTTTTCCTTCAGCAAGTCCTTAACGCTTCCATTGTCCACCCATGTTACCGTATCCTTCTTTCAGCTGAGAGAAAAGGACCTGTTTTGGGAGGCGATGGTCTGTCATCTGGACAACGTGACCAGTCCAGCGGAATTGCTGATGGATGATCATTGCCTCAATACTGGTGGTCTTTAGTATCTTTGCCTCGTCCAGAACACTAATATTTGTGCACCTGTCTTCCCATTTGATCTTCAGAATCTTACGATGGCAGCGTTGATGGTGCCTTTCAAGGACTTTCAAGTAGTGTCTATAGGTTGTCCAAGTTTCGGACCATACAACAGGGTTGGGAGAATAACGGCTTGATAAACAAGAAGCTTGGTGTCTGTTCGAATGTCGTGATCTTCAAAAACCCTGTGCCGTAAACGAGAAAAAGCTACACTGGCACAGCTCAGGCAATGTTGAATTTCTGCATCAATATCTGCCTTGGATGAAAGATCACTTCCAAGGTAGAGGAAGTGATCAACATTCTCCAGTGCTACTCCATTGATTTTTTTGATCGATGAGGCATGTAATACCTCATTTGGAGAGGGCTGATAGAGTACTTTAGTCTTCTTGATATTAAGAGTGAAACCAAGACATGCGTAAGCATCGGCAATCACATTCAAGATAGTTTGAAGATCTTTCTCAGAGTGGGGAAAAGATTGCGTTGTCATCAGCATACTAAAGTTCCACAATAGATGTTGTGGAAATCTTACTTTTGGCTTTCAGCCTGCTAAGCCTGAACAGCTTTCTATCCATTCTGTAAATGATTTCAACGCCAGCTGTAAACTTCCCAGCAATTAGGTAAAGAATGACGGCAATAAAAAAAATTCTCCTTTTTACCTAACATGTACACCATGAGAAATAGGTGGCTATTTAAGCTGTATTTTGGACCTTGTCCTCTGCCATGTCCACCACATTTGGGCTGGTTCTCTTCCTGAAAATTGAGGCAGTTCTGACTTGCCCATGAAGCTCTGGGTTTTTAGCTATGCCTCTTCTACCCTTGTGCCAGATTTTTTTTCTCTGTGATGTTCGCTGCTGGCATCCCAGCCTTTGGAGCTAATTTAAGGAAAGCTGTGACAAGACGCGGAGACTGACTTCCACAGTGTCATGGAACCAGGAGACATCAGTCAGCCTTTGCCCAAAGCTCCTGGGTCTTCTGCACAGAGATGGTTTCATGGACAAGACAGTCTCCTTTACTACGCAGCTCTGTATCCTTAGAGCAGGTCCACTCTGTGCATTGAATGAAATAAGACTCCTGTGAGGCAAAATGGTATGTGATCATAAATAAGGACTGTTATAATACATATATACAATAGGACTCAATTAAAATGGCAAAAGCCACCTTAATTCTGGTGTTTCCTTTCTTTTGGGTGCTTGACTTTGCAACCTTAATGTTCTTTTAAAATGGCTTTGTGTGTTTGTTTAATTTCCTAGATTTTTAAAAAGCAAACTTGAAAAACAAATTCCATCTCTTGGCATCATATTGATACCCATGTGGTTCATCAGCACTGTTGAGCATATCCAATGTGGATGAAATTGTGGAGATTTTAGCTGCAAAAATCTGAAGTTTCTTCTGGACATGTATGAGGAGCTGTGACTTTTCCCCCCAGAGACTTAAAACTTGGCCACATATGGGCAGTTTTTCACAGGGATGGCAAAATATGCACCCCTAAATACAAAGGCCACTTCCTTCCTTCCTTCCTTCCTCTCAAAACTTCAAGTATAGGTTCCTTGAGAATCTCTCTTATTTAAATTGGGGGAAGCACCCTTTCCAGATATGCAAGGGGAGTACTGTTTTGCCCATAGCTTCCTACTAAGGTGCTCATGACACATGCTTCTGTGTTCGGGTGGGGAACTCCCCTGGGACATCTTCAGACCCAAGACCTCTGGATTTCCAGTGAGACTCACCTTCATATAAATATACTTGCTGATAACCTATGCTGTCATACGATTGTCATTCATAAAGCCGTGTTTTGTTTTGTTTTTAAAAAAGGCCAAAAATGACTGAGAACTTAAAGTAGATGGTAACAGACAGTGAATCCCAGTAATGATTGCACCTTATGATATTCTAAACAAAAAACTCTCAAGTATGCTGTCGCTGTTCATCACTTCATGCTGACTCAAGACATTCTAGGCTTCAGAGTTATAATGCTGGAATCTTATATAGATCAGAAATCAGAGCTATTGGTCTAGCATTCACAGCTCTCCCTTTCCACTCTGTGAGGTTTGACAGTCCAGGTCAGAGCACTCAATACAACAGCAATGTAGTAATGTTTTGTAAGACAGGGAGGAACATGATCATTCCCTCTTTGCCAGGAAACTGTTTTTGGAACTGGTGCATTTGTCACCAAATCATTCCAGTAGCTCTGCTTCTGCCAGAATTATAAAATGTCCTAGGACCATCTCCACAGACAGTTCACAAGCAAACCACAGACATGGACTCTGTCATCCAGAACATCTTTCTGTAAGTGGGGTCACCTGACTGTAGATCAGTTCGCCTCAAGGGTTAATGTCAGCTGTTTTGCTCAAAGGGGAGGGTCTGAGCCAGGTTCTCTGACAAGTGATTTCCTCAACTTGTGGACTTCAGGAATAATCTAGGCTTATCTACTGATACCATTAATACCGAGGGTTTTCAGAAACCACATTGTAGGATTCAGGGGTGATGATCATATTAAAACCAGCACAGTCAGTTCTGGTACTGGGACCTCATGAACTTGTCCACTCAGCCACAGATATCCTCATCTTTTAACTATCATAATCTCCCAGAATGAAGGACACTTTCTACATCTGGACCCAGCTTTGTTGACAGGGCAGATGCTGGCTTTTCTAATCATCACGGAGAGAAGCTGCTCTACAGAGGTCAGAGCATACTAGTTCAGAAAAGACTCTACTAGACTAATATAAGCAGCCAAGTGGAAAAGATGCCCTGTTTGGGCGGAGCAATGCCATTTATGTCCTCTAAAGACTTCTATTCTTGCCATTGTGGACGATGCACTCTCACTGACTAACTCAGGGCTATCAGTCTGTTCAACCAGAGTACGCTGAGCAATATCAGCTCACCATCCCCTCTCCCTGAGAGTCACATCATATTCTCCTTCCCCACAGTAGCCAGGTTCCTTAAGGCTCTTATTTTCCCCCCAGTGCCAGAGCCCTCTCTTTCCTGAGATCCCAGTGTAGTCTTACCTGGGTTAATGGGTTTTCCTTTTTGAGTCCCTCTCATCATGGTCATTCTTGCTCACTCTATCATCCATCTCTGAAGAGGGCCTTATATGTCTACATAGCAGCTAGGAGGTGTAAAAACCCAGTGTGACTGTGGCAACCTAGGTGGTGACTTAGGCTAGCTGCCCGTATACAAGCTGCCCGCATACAATCCACGACCCCATGGGTATGTACTCTGGCAGTTAGCCCAAGCCAGCACCTGTGCCAACACTGCTATTTTTAGCATGCTAACTTGAGTAGAGCTTGCATGTGAATGTCTACCTGTGTTAGGATTTGCACCGGCTAGCTGCTGTGCAAACATAACTGAAGTGGCTATACCATCAACTCAAAAGTTTGAAATTCAGGCTCTTTTATGTCTTATCCGTCTTAGCGTGTTCCGTTAGGACAAAGTACCCTAAGGCCTCATGCTACATTTTTTCCCCCTCAGTGGTAGCCTTCCATTTAAATCAGATGATTTATCTGCCTGTTTTCTTAAGGACCACTACAAAGAGAAGCTAGACAGTACACATTTGGTGTGTGTAGGGCTCTTTCATTTTACCTCGACAGGATCAAGCCTTTCAGACTCCCTGAGACTATTTGTAGCATTCGAAGATAGGATGAAAGTTCAGGCAAGATCTACCCAAAAGCTAAGTGTGTGGGTATCTAATTGTATTAGGGTATGCTATGAGCTAACCAGATCAGATCCACCCATGCAGGTAAGAGCCAACTCCATTGGAACTCAGGCTTCCCTGAGATGCATACCTATCTGAAATCCTCTGGGATCAGTCCACACGTTATCACGTTACACAGCCTAGTTGGAGCATCAAGATCTGAAACCCACTTTAGCAGAGCTGTCCTGCAGCCTTTATTTAAGTAGACTTTCTGAGCACCCACCTCCTTTATACTAGGTCACTCCTTGTTAGTCACCAAAAGTGGAATACGTATTGACAGTCATTTAGAGAGAACAGTTACATGCTCTACAGTAACTGGCCCTTTGAGATGTTCTCTCTCTCTCTCTCTCTCTCTCTCTCTCTATATGTATATGTATGTGTGTATATATATATATATGTATGTATGTATGTATATATTTTCCACTGCCCTCCCTCCTTCTCCTGTGAAGTTCTATAGCACCTGGATTCTGTGTCTGTGAAAGAACTGAAGGATGGGGTGGGAGGGGAGGCGCAAGGGCAGTCTTGCACATGGGGTACATGTGCACACCAGAAGTGGAGTATATATGGATAATAGGTCTTGAAGACACATCTGCACTTATTGTAGGGTCTGTAACCATTTTGTATGGCACAATGAATGAGGATAACAGTGGAGGCAGGGAAAGAACAGGAACAAGAATTACAATATATTGTCACTTAGTTCCCCTGTAACCGTAGTACCTTATGTAAACAGCTTGAATTGTTAATATGGACTTCATTGACTTGAGTGCAAAAACAAAAATAAGAACCAGTGACTGTTTCTTGCAAACCAAAGATTTTGCAAGCCCTAATTTTTCTTAAAAAATGTATTCTTTATGGTCCTCTCTTTCAGGCCATTAAGTGTTGTGTTGCTAATGTTGTTCCAAAACAAGGAGGATGGAACAAAGACTGTGCTAGCATTATTACCCCTCTGCTCGTGGGACAGTACTGTTCGGTGACTGTTGTTGACCTATTACAGGAGGAGATGATGACTTGTTTCGCTGTAGATGTTGTCCTGCCAGGTTCTGGTAAGATGGGTTTGAGTGTTCAGGGAAATATCTTCAAAATTGTCTGTTTTGATTCTCATTTCTGTTCCCTTAAAGCAGTGTTTCCCAAACTTGGGACAGCGCTTGTTTAGGGAAAGCCCCTGGTAGGCTGGGCCAGTTTGTTTACCTGCCGCGTCCGCAGGTCCGGCCGATCGCGGTTCACTGCTCCAGGCCAATGGAAGCTGCTGGAAGCGGCGCGGGCTGAGGGACGTACTGGCTGTCGTTTCCAGCAGCTCCCATTGGCCTGGAGCGGCGAACCGCGGCCACTGGGAACCGCGATCGGCCGGACCTGCGGACGCGGCAGGTAAACAAACCGGCCCAGCCTGCCAGGGGCTTTCCCTAAACAAGCGGCGTCCCAAGTTTGGGAAACACACTGCCTTAAAGCGTTCTACAGAAATGAGATCTCACACTTTTTACCTAAAATGTTTAGTTTTCTAGTCTTAGAAATTTGAATTGCTGCAATAGAGATCTTGTTTTCAGAAGTTGTGTGTCTTGATTGGCTTAATCTCATGCTTTGTTGACTACCTTTAGAAACTTAAATTCTTCAATAGTGAACCTTTTTTTGTTATCCAGACTTTCTAAATGATCTTGTTAATTTTCTTCCCATATGGTGCTAGTCTTTATAGAGCTCTTGTAGACTGGCATGTAGTGACTTGGGGTTATTTCCGTACATTCTTTCTTACTGTAACAGTAAAAAAAATTTCACGCTGTTTACTTTGAGTAGTTGCCTTTTCCAGGAACAACTGTAACTCTGCTCTGTAGTGATGTTATACAGTTATAATATGGCTGTGACTAATGTGTGTTAGTTTTTGTGGTCCTAGTGTACATTAAATGGATTCTCAAAGACATATCCGATTTTATTTTTCCTCTCAAGTCATCGCTACAGGGCAGACTCAAGGTTGTTTGGATCCCTAAACTGTGCATTGCTTAGCTTAACATGTTTGGATTTCTTTTAATTATTACCTTAACTTTGAATTTCCTGAGTTTTTAATGCATGGTTTTGGGGAAAAAAAAATTATCCTTAAATTACTGGTACATACTCTCAACCTTAAACCCAGCTTCTAAGAGTTTTTTTTTTTTTTTTCCTCCTGGGACTTTCCTTATTTTTTAAAAATTTATTTAAGATTACATACCAAACTAACTAACATAAAAACTAAACAAGAATTCCCCCCAAAATGCTACTGTGTGATATTTCTAATTATTTGAAGTCATAATACCAACCTTAAATCTTTACATGTTAAGGACAGAGTCCTCAGTAGAGAAGAGTAGCATGAAGCAGCCAGAGTGCATTGGCCAGCTAAGCAGCTGTAAACCCAGCCTTGCATTGCTATAACAGCTGAGATAAACTAGTGGATCTGGACCTAAGTTTGCAATTAATTTATTGGTTTTGAGAGCTCTTTGTGAAACCAGTGCTATGTGAAGAGGGGAGGCAGGGAGAGCTCAGTTCTATTGTACCTGCTCTTTTAGGGTTCCCATTGTGCTGCTGCGTTGGTGTGCCATGAAGTTAAGGCCGTGGTACCATCTAGTTCAGGGGTGGCCAACCTGTGGCTCCGGAGTTAATGTGGCTTCAGAAGTTAATATGCGGCTCCTTGTATAGGGACCGACTCCGGGACTGGAGCTACAGGCTCCAACTTTCCAATGTGCTGGGAGGTGCTCACTGCTCAACCCCCGGCACTGCCACAGGCCCTGCCCCCACTCCACCCCTTCCCGCCCCCTCCCCTGAACCTGTCATGCCCTCGCTCTTCCCCCTCCGAGCCTCCTGCACGCCATGAAACAGCTGATTGGGAGGGGGAGGTGCTGATCGGCGGAGCTGTCGGTGGGCGGGAGGCGCTGGGAGGGGAGATGGGGGGGCTGCTGATGTATTACTGTGGCTCTTTTTGGCAATGTACATTGGTAAATTCTGGCTCGTTCTCAGGCTCAGGTTGGCCACCCCGATCTAGTCTTGTAGTCACTGATGTCCATAGTATGGCTGCAGCCACAGAACCTTTAAAGAGTAGTGATATTTGAGCCAGCTAACTTACCAATGAGAACTCTTCCTGCATGCTATTGTGTAATGATAGCAAATAGAATTATTAGCTATAAAGGAAGAATGCTGATTGAATTACAGTGGCCCCACTTAAGTTATCTGAGCCTGGCAGTAGCCTGTATAATCATAACAGATACGATTGTTAATAACTTAGCTTAATTATAACCCAACTTCTTCAAATATAGGTTGTGCATGAGATCAAACTCTCAAACAGACAAAATTAATTTAAGTATTTGTGTTGTTCTACTCATTTGGGACAAAGAGAAGAGACTGTCAGACACTGAAGATCTTAAAGGACCCCATTTTTAATTAACTAATTCATAAGCTAATGGATTTACTTGTAAATTCTCAGGCCTGATCCTGTACTCAAAGTGCTGTAAGTTTGGGGAAGATCTGGAGAGGTTGAATCCTGTTTGGTGTGACACATGGAACTCAGCCTTAACTATAGAGTGATAACAAATTAGCATGATAACAAATTCAGTAACAATTGTTATAGATATTTTGGTGAAGTGAAATTAGCAAGGCAATAATATTTGAGGAATGGGTGTTTTTAGGAAGCTTCTGAGTAGTCAAACTACTCTGAGACTTGTGTTTATATCTATATAAAAATGTTATTCAACACCCACGGCATGCTAGATGCTTGACCAACAAGTAAAATAGACATAGTCTAGGTCAGATTTTCCAGGGTTAGTAGTTTAGAGAGTGTGTTCAGAAAACATGATTTAAAAAACTAGTCTGAGACTGCCTTTGTATGGTAAATTAGTTTAATTTACATAAATATGTATTTTAGGGAAACACCTAGATAAAATACTTCTCGAAATGGGACATGAATTGAGTCCAAAGAGGAAAGAAACTAAGAAAACGGACCCAGATACAGGTGAGCAAACCAGTCAGGCTTTTGACAGATTGATCTGAAATTTGGGAATGGTATCTTCTCCTATTTTAGATGGTGTGGAGATAATGGTGAAGTTAGGTTGCCCTCTGTTTCAAACTGTTACTTAAGATGTTGGACAGTGGAACTAGCTTCAGTTCACCGTTGACTGTGATGTGGTGTGTTTTCTTATTAGAATATTCACTTAGTAAAATAGCTTCTCCTATTATGTTTGTATTTCCTCAGGTACTGTGTTACAAAAGGATTCTGAGGGAGAAAGAGAAAAAACAGCTGAAGATGAAGAACTGGTTCAGAATAGTGTTTTAGCCATAAAGGTTGTTTCCGTATCCGTGGGAGATACATTTTCTGGTGTAGTTGCCCATATTCAAACACCAGCAGACTTTTTCTGTCAGCAGATGCATAATGGCCGTAAGTGAATATATTCATAGAGGTCATTCTAAAGTAAAAGTGTTAACATAATTATTTATGCAAAAATGGTAAATTACAATTATATATACTATTTTCTTTTTAACGAAAAGCACCTGAAAGTCCCAGGGGAAGAAGGTGGGACCAGAAGGAGGGGAAATTGAGTTAGGGCTCCTAGTTTATTTCCCCCAGAATAAGAGCTGCATGCAACTTGAAGCCTAGAATACCTGGTGAGGACTCAGTGGATCCTATGAGTCTGGAAGAGGCTGAAAACAGCAGGATCCTATGGCACAGAGTTTAGCTTTCTTGTGTGGCCACTTGACAGAATTATTTTTTCTGCCTTGCTTGTACAAAAAGTGTTTTTTGTTTTGGTTTTGTTTTTATTTTTGATTTGTTGAACTGACCCAAAATATATTGTTTAATGCTGAGCTGATTCTAAAGTAATACTTATAGTGCAATATTTCCTTATAGCAGTTGCAGTTTGAGTGCTTGATGCCCCTATTCTCTCTCACGGCTAAATCCACAGATTGTCAGTATGGGTCATTGCCTGTCTGCCCCCTACTGCTACAGAATCAAAGCTGATTGGATGGCAGACAAGGGACTAGCCCCCACTTTCCAGAGACCCCTCCCCTCAGTTTTGGGTTTGTTCTGCCTCCAGTAGCTACTGGCAGGGAAGTGGAATCCAGCACCTGCTGCAAGAGAGAATGGGAAAACAAAACCCAAAATATAAAGATGCAGTTTGTCTCATACAGCGCCACTCCCGACTGCTCAAGTAACGGGCTATGAGAATGATGGAGAAAGGTCCAGACAGGAGACCAAGGCTACGCTTGTTCTGCATCCCTGCAATAAGCTTGTGCCTTGTTTTCCAGCTGCCTCATTCTCTGGGTTGGACATTGTTTTGCTCTGGTGGCCTTATTTTGACCCAGGAGCTAGTTTGACAGCCAGACTGCGAATGTCTTGAAGGATGGAGGGAAAATGGAGATCCCTTTGGCCACCAGAGGCAGATGCATCGAAGGACAGCATCCTGGCACAGGGAAACCGTAGGCGGGCCTGGCTGAATTTGCCAGACGCAGAACAAGAAGTGACTAGTAAGACTGTTTCAGGGATGTGCCCTCTTGCAATGCAGGTCACATCATTCCCACCTCCCTCCCCCCCAATCCGTGGCAGGAAATTCAGTCTCCTTCCAATAGCCTCTGGGAAAGTCAGGAATTCTGCATATATAGATATATAGGGAAGAAGAAGGGAATCTCATCAGGAAGAAATTATCTCTTGGGCTAGGCAGCTCTTGGGTTTGGTATGAAAAGCATTGTTACCTCAAAGTCCTGTCTTGGAGCCCTGGGCAGCAGCTTAGTGTCCCCTTACTAGCATATGGTCTGCTCTCAAAAGGGCAAAGATAAAGAGATGCATTTAGCAGAGGAGGTTCACGGGACTCCTCACCTGACTCAGATTCCCAATCCCCACCTCCCCTAAAGAGTAAAATTTAAAAAGGGGGGGAAAGGGTTCAAGAAATTACCACAGAAATCTAGGAAAAAAACTTGGCCTGTTCTTCTGAGAATAGCAGTTTCTTTGACTCCTCACCAGAGCAAAAACTCTGCTCACAAGGTTTTTATCCATGGAAAGAAAAAAATAATAAAAGGAATAGAATTGTTTGTGTCTGATTTTTCTTTATCTTCATCATCATTTAATTCATTTTCATCCTCATCTTCATGTGTATCAACAAAAGAAAAAAGACTAGGAAGTATGTTCAATCCAAGTCCCAGAGAGGACTTGTCAGGATTTTCTTCAGAGGAGGAAAGTGAACTCTAAAGTCAGAATCTAAATAGCAGGATGAAGCAAAGCAAGAGGATCTTTTTCAAACTGTCATTTGAGAAGATGTTACAAAGCGTGATTAGATACTTCAGGTATTTTATTGGATGAGCCCATTAGCAAATACTCCAAGGAAGAAAAGGCATTTGGTCCAGAAATTAGAAAAAAAATATTTTCTAGCCGGTTCATAATCTGAACTGTACATTGTCCTTCACATCTTTTTGGAAAAAGTAATTAAGGCCAAATGGGAAACACTGTCAAAACCTGAGAGCATCCAGGTATATAAAAAAATTCTACAACGAACATCATAGCAAAGGAGATTTTGTCTCTTTCCCAAAGTGTCAGAGCAACTTCAGCACTAGTCTAAGATGCTGCTATCCTAATGGAAGGGGATTTTTTCCTGAAAGAACCCAACAATTGCAGAATGGAAATACCATTGTTCTGTACATTTGAAGCTGCATCTTCCTTTCTGAGGGCTTCTCCTGCAGCAACATGTTGTGCAAGGACAGTCCTGGCCTTGACTGACAGTTTGGCAGTCAGACTGCCAAAAAAAAAAAAAAGTTAAGAAATTGTTTTGGTTAGGTTTGGAGTTAAAGAAAATCTTAATGGCTTCAGCCTTCATAACCAATGAAACCAGGGATGCTTTGATGTTTTCAGCACATGTCACGGCCTCCAGCATGGTGACCAGATGGCATCCCTGTTTATGAGCCTGGAAAGGCAATATACAAGCCAGAATCACGTTAGAGTCTTCAAAATATTCAGGAGGTGGCTTATTTGGAGAGCTGTTAGAGACAAAATGATGCTGGAATCCTCAAATAAATCAAAAAAGATCTTACAGAACCATCCTTACTCCAAATCTGGGAAAAGGGATAGCTGACCTTATTACGGGTATGAATCTCGTTTTCGTGGCTACTGAAAGTATGGAAGGTAAGATTACAGCAAATCTAAGCCTTGAAAGGGTAGATATCAGTCTTCCTGCAATGCAAATTCCAACACTTAAAAACAATGCCTGACTAAGTCTGGAGAATTCCAACGAGCGACAACTGGGGGGAGACTATTAACATTCAAGGACCAGTGATCTTTCTCCATATCAGACTGATGGATCCTGGATGTGTTTTGACAAGGGTACATTATAGAATTTTCAAATATTCTGAATCTTCATTTTCTCCCTTCTCCAGTATCCTTAAATCCACAAACAAGGCAAAATATTCTAAATCAGCTTCTGCAAATTGGCAAGATAATTACCAAGGTGGAGATGTTCTCTGAGCACTACTCAGTCTTGGTTTTGTACCCAAGAGATCCAGGGAGGAGAGAGCATTGTTGGACTAAAACACCTGAACAAGTCCATAAGAAGGGCCAGAGTCAAGGTGGAGATCTTAAAGTCCATAGTGGTGGCGATCTGACAGAGGGATTATCTTACAGGAATCAATTTGAAGGAGGCCTATCTTCATATGCAAGTTCACCAGGTACACAAGAGATTTCTGTGCTTCATTCATGGGATCAGTTGTTTTCTATACAAAATGCTGCCTTTCAGACAGTCATCTATATCTCACAAAAGTCCCCATTCTGGTGGCTTTTCTCAGGCAGAACAGGATACAAGTATACCCTTTCCTGGACGTTATTCTAGTCAGAGCCTCCTCCAAAGAGGGGTCTATTTTGGCGGCTCAAACAAAAATCGAAAGGTTGCAACAGCAATGGGTTTATAGAAAAGTTTCAAAATGAGTCCTCTTTAGCCTTCTCAGCACCTAGTTAATCTTGGTGTGTTGATGGACACAGAGGCCCACAAAATCTTTGTCAGCTGAAAAATGGGACGAGATAAATTCAGCAGTTAGCCCTCCTACCAGAGGACATGGGTACACACTCTGAGTATTGTAGGGATGATCATGTCCTGCATTGGAATAGTGCCCTGAGCAAGAATGCATATGAGGATTCTCCAGTTTCCTGCTGTCCCTTCCCGACCATTTTCTGATTTATTTATTCCCCCCCCCCCCAATCTTGGAAATTGAATGTTTTGTTACTGGTGTTGAAATCCCGGGGTTGGCGGATGAGTCCAGAGAGACTTCAGGGAGGTCTGGCCATGGTAGAATCAAAGCAGTATGTCATCACAGACGCCAGTCTGGAAGGATGGGGAACATTCTCTGAGAAGTTAGTGGCTCAAGGGATATGGTCCTTCTCAGAATGAAGACCTACATTTTCCTAGAGTTGAGGCTGGGCAATTAAGTATGTTCTTCAACAACTGGCCCCAGCGTTGCTGAATGGTCATATTTTGGTACTCTCACACATGGCAGCAATGGCATACATAAATCATCAGGAGGGTATGAGGTCAAGGGATCTACAAAAGGAAGTAGCATCTGTGATGCAGTGGATGGAAGTCCATCTATGGTCTATCAGGGCCCTGTATATCAAGAGCACCAATAATGTGAAGACTGACTGATTGAGCAGTAGAAAAATTGATGAGGCAGATTGGAGTCTTCACAATGAATCCGATTGGAGTTCTGATTTTAGATCTTTCCATCCAAGACACACCAGAAGGTTCACTCATAATTTGCAAGAAGGCGGCAGCCAGGAGCCCTAGGCATACATGCCTTGTCACTCAAGTTTCAAAAGGGCTTACTTTATGCTTTTCCCCAGTGCCCATCATGAGCGTAATACAGAAGATCAGGAAGAAGGAAACGGATATAGTGGGATCGCATCATTATGCAGATATGGGATGACGAGTAGTGGCTGTAAAACTTTCCAATGCACAAATCACACCTTCCTGGAACTGTGTGCAGAGCTCGCCCCTTCCCTGCAGCATAAGGACACCAAAATGAGAGCTGTTCTCTCAGTGAAGAAGTGCGGGTAATCGCTGTGTGGAAGCTGGCAACTCCAGACCACTACTGGTCAGTTGTGAATCAGTTTGGAGTTGGGAAGTCCACCATGGGGGTTGCGTTCACACAAATGTGTAGGGCCATTAATCTCATCCTTCTATGAAGGACTGTGACTCTGGGAAATGTGCAGGAAATAGAGGATGGCATCCTCCTAAGGTGCATTGTGCTCCATCTTGAGATTTGTCAGCTATAAAGGAAGAATGCTGATTGAGTTACAGTGGCCCCACTTAAGTTACCTGAGCCTGGCAGTATACGGTGACCAGACGTCCCGATAAAATCGAGACTGTCCCGATATTTAGGTGTTTGTCCCGCGTCCCGACCGATCTTTGGTTGGGACGCAATTTGTCCCGATATTTAGCTCCGCCGGCAGCACTCGGCTCTTTTTTGTTGCTCCGCCGGCGGACCCCCCCCCATGTCCCCCGATATTTTTTTCCTCTCATCTGGTCACCCTATGGCAGTAGCCCGTATAATTATAAGATACAATCATTAATAACTTCTTCAAATGGCCAGGACTACTTCAGTGGATGACTAGTAGTCCCCAGGTTTGGATCTCTTCCTCCCTCAATGAGGTGGTCAACCCATCCTCTTCAGGGGTTTGACAAACTTAAGATCTTTGAGGACCTCTTGACGAGGATTACAGATACCCTTGACATACCACCTGAACTGACTCAGGAAAAGCAGTAGACGGTTGGATGTTCTCCACCAACAATACTGAGCAGAATAGCAATGCACATTAACAAGTCTCTCCAAGTTGGCCAATGAACCTTGCATACTTCTGTCTCCATCCCACCCTTTGAGCCCTTGGCAACCTGCTCTTTTATTTCTCCGGGCTAATGTGACCGCTATCCGGACACTTCCTGAAGAGTTGGTGAAGATCCTCATGGCAGAGTTTCCCTAAACTATATTCTATAAGGATGAGTTCAGGCCTCCTCAAGTTTTTGCCTAAGATGGTATTGGATTTTCACCTCAATCTATTCATCTCCTACTATTGTTTCTAAAACCCCACTCTAATCCAGCCAAAATGAAACTATAAACCTTGGACGTAGTGAAAGCTTTTTCCTTTTTTATTTAGACAGAATTAAGTCATTCAGAGTATTACCAAGAGTGGTCATGACTTCCGTGGAGAGTTTCCTCTAATCCTCTATCTCCCTTCAGATTATCCAAGTGGGTTTTGGACTGCATCAGACTTTGCTCTCAAGGGGTTAACAAGACATTGTCCGGACGCATTCCACCAGGGTTCATGCACCTTCAGCAACTTCCCAGTCAAACGCTTGAATTTCTGAAACGTGGTGTGGTCACATAGAGCTAGGTTCACATGTTCACTTCCCGCTACTTCCTGGTTCAGGTTTCCGGATCAGATGCCAACTTTGGTAGACCAGTTCACCAGTCACTCTTCAAGTTAAACTTCTCTTCCACCTCTTGTAGAAATAATTGCTTGCTACAAGTGGAATCGGTGTGGACAATCACTTGAGAAAATGGTTACTTACCTTATGGTAAGTGTGGTTCTTTGAGATGTGTTGTCCACACAGATTCCACTACCCACCTTGCATCCTCACTAATCGGAGTCCCACTATGTGGGATTTTTATTGTCAAAGGAACTGAGTAGCAGTTGCATGTCCTGCTTGGCGGCAGTGGGCAAGAAGATATGAGGGATGCTATTCAAAAATAATCTGATCATGTGCGTGTAAGGCACTTGTGTACCAAGAGTGGAATCTGTGTGGACAACTCATTTGGCGAGCCAGTTGCTGTAGGGTAAGTAACTGTCCTTTTCAGTTTTTCCAATGGAAAAATCAAAACATTTTAGTAAATCAAAATTTTCTCTATTTTAAAATTTTGATTTTACAAAAACTATTTTCTGTTGAAGAATAATTTTGACTGAAAAATATATACTAGAGCTGGCTGGGAATTTTCTAACAGGAATTCATCCTCTAGATCACTGAATAGAATTCATCACTCTTGTAAAGATTGGCTTTCTGTGATGTGTGGTGTTCAGGCATGTACTTATATGTTTTCACCTCTGAACAATCTTGGACCTGATAGACTTTTGTCATCTCCAGAGATTCAAGATGAAGGTGCCATGGTTAGTCATTTAGCTGGTGCTCTGAAGAAATTCTTGGATTTCATAGATCTATAAGGTACTTGTCTGGAGCACAAAAAATACCTGATTCTGTTGGAAACCTGTAATTCCAATACTGCACTTTGCCTTTCATCTGGGAAGCCGCTTCTGAGATTTATTAAACTTATCAGTGGTAGCTGCCAACTTCCAGAAGTGGAGAATCTTAAAGATTTCCTGTCTTGGTGACTGGCTGGTCAGGGACAAGTCTCCCAGAAGACAGTCAAAAATATACCAGAGATCCTCCATTTGAAGCTCATAAGACTTTCTTGCATTATATTAAATCCATTTCTGATGGCCCAGTTGTTGAACCATAAGAATGAAGAGCTCTATCCTGTGATTTGAGACCAAAGGTTACCTTGATGAGGGGAAAAAAATGCCTGCCTTTTGTTCCAGACGTGGCAAACCATAAGGAAGCAGATTGCATTGTACAGTGTTATGAGGGGTCCTTGAATCTCTTTAAATTCTGTAAAGCCTTGAATTCTCTCATCTAGAGCCTAGGTAAAATATTTTGTAGAACAGGTCTGCAAAGTTTTATTGTAATGGAGTCAAGTTCTGCTTTAGTTAAGGTTGAGTTGTAGTGTTCTAAAAATCTGTTGTGGTCAGATGTCAGATGTGCTTAGATTGTCTTGAAGTATGCTGTGTCTTACGGGAGTGTGGGGTAGGGTTAGTGATCCAAATTTGGGGTCATTTGAGCAAATTTCCCCTCAAGCATTTCATGTAGTCCTCAAACTACCAAACTTTTGCGCGCACACCTGGGGCTTGGATCATCCCCCACCTAATCTGTTGCTTGACATTTTAGCTCAGCTAGTGCATGGCACCCACAGCCCCTTTGAGGAAGCAATATTGAAAACATTATTAAAGGACGTATGTAGTTCTCTAGGATGGTATATGCTCAACACTCACACATCACATTACAATGTGCATGTGCAGAAAGACTAGGGAAAACTGTTTCCACCCAACCAAGTTTCACATATCCCTTGGTGGCTCAAGGGGACATGCTGTGGCTGTCAAAAGCTGAGCTATACCAAGGCACTGTAAGTTTGAATCTTACCCTTTGGCAGAAATCTTAGAGCTCTGTAGACCTGATGCAACTATCCACCTATGTCAAGGGTTGTGGGTTTTTTTAATATAATCTGAGTAAAGCAGATAATTCAGAAGGGGCTCAAATGACTTGCGGGGGAAAATGACATACAAATATTTGCTATACAGTGCTTGGGGGTGTGAGAGTTGAGAGTGCAAGCAGATGGGGCAGGGAATAGGTGTAGAGATTTAGGGTGGGATGATGTGGGGAGGAGGATTTGGGGGGATTAGGAGTTGGTGGAGCCCTATTCCTCTCAAGGGCTCTGAGCCTCTCTCCCTGCCTCCCATGTGAGCTGGGATCGGTGGGGGAGGGAGGAGACGAGCAGGAGTGCTGAAAGTAATGCAGATTTACACCTCTGAAAACTTAGGAAATACAAACCTAAAGTACCTATCACTCCTATGCAGGGTGGGAGGCTGACAGGGTGGGGGAAGGCCTGGCCTGGCCTGGCCTATATTTCAAGCAGAACTCAGACCTCTGAAAACCAGGAATTAGAACGAAGATATACACCAACACAACCTTAACTCTGATCTCTTTGAGCAATGCCTCAATAAGATCATAACACTTACTCACTTTGCCTCTGCAGATAGTGCTGAATTTAGGGAATAGACAGTCCAACAGTGATCACCTACCCTAACACTACCTCTTTAGGCAAAACATATGGTTAGGTGAGCTGTACAGAACAGGAGCTACTTACACCCGACTTTCACTCAAACATCGTTTACTCCACAGAAACAGCATACACCTGCTAAATTTTACAACCCCTTCACCATGAGGCACAGGATGGTATTTAACACTGTACTTTCACTTAGCCATCATTAAACCCACAGACCACTCGTATCCTACCTTACTACTGCCAGTCTCCCTGGCAAGAAGATCCCTTTGTACCGCTATTGACACAGCCTACAGAACTCATTGCTGAAATGAGGCATACTAGATCTCTCAAGGTACATACGCACCTCTTTCCTTTGATCATGCTATACCTAACAGTGAATGCAGCAGCAGTGCATGCTGATAATTCCCAGTGGCTATTGCCAGCTCCAGGGCTCAGTTAGAATTGTCCCTTAATTCCTTATTCTTTGGTTTTCAGAGGTTTGAATTTTGCTGAACTCCTGGAATGCCCTGGAAGGGCACTAGGAACCACCAGCCAACTTTAACTCTGCATTAATGAAGTTTGTCATTGAATTAGATTTTTACAGAGCGGATGTGCCTTTGCTGTCACAAGTTTTGACAAATCTGTTCCAGCACTGAGACTGAAAAACCATCCCACCCAGTTATACAGAAAGAAGTTGATTTTTTTGTCCACTGGAGAAATACCATTGATTATAGGAAACCTCTGTTCTTTCAGGCTTTTGGAAAATCCTTCTCTTGACACAAAAAGGAGTCTAACACTGTGATTTTTTTTTATGTAATAGAGTAATCTTAATTTTGTGCATTGAGTTAAAAGGTTTTGTCTTGTAATGCTTGCTTAAAGAAGTCTTGTTAATGAGTAATTTCCAAAAACATTTCTTGTCAACAGGCCAGCTCGCTGAGCTTCAAGTATCCTTGGGTGAATACTGTAACAAAATCCCTGCTATCCCAAATTTCTGTCCAGCTGTTGGAGATGAGTGTTGTGCCCAGTTTACAGGTAAAGGAGACTCTAAATGGCTAATCGCTATTATGTTTAATTTCTTACCCAATTAAACTAAATCTCTATAAAGCACTCTTAAATAGATTTGAGTGTCTACATTAGAGAGTTGCACCGATTAAACTTTTTTAGACATATATTTAATTCAAAGATATTTCTGTGTTTAGACAGGGCTTTTATCATTTTACTTGGACCCAATTTACCTATGGACACAGAATTTTCAGCCACATCTATGGTAACCAGTGTTGTGATTAAGAGCCTGGAAACCGTACTTACACCAAGGAAACCGTAAAATTGGATAAATTCTTGGGTAGAAATGCTTTTAGGGAAATCCTGAAGAAATTGCTAGCTCCTTAGGCCGGAGGAAGAGAGTACTACCGATGTGCTAAATAAACAGTTTTTCTTGTGTCCAGAAACAGTATGGGATACATAATACAAGAAAATGGGGAGCAGAGAAGCAGTGCAACATCCAGTAATGTTTACTTTGATATTGGCAGGGGGATTTGGTCTTTGCTCATCTGTTTCAGTGAACATAGTTGTGATAGTGGAGTAAAGTTAGCTAATATCTCACTTTAAGATACCAAATGCCTTAACACCATCTAAACCTATTGTTATCCCTTTTTTGACCTGAATGATTGGACCCTCAGATTGTTTCCAGGAGGAGGAAAAATTGATCATCGGGTATTTCTTTATCAATAAACAGGATTGCATCGAAGTCCTGTTTCCCTGAGTGCAGTAGGAATTAAACAGGAGATAGTTATTTGCCCACTTTTCTAAGCCCCTTTCCAGCTAGCACCTAGCCCTAAAATGTTCTAACTTAGCTTCTTCTCAGGGCCATGCTCCTAGTGCTTTTTCTGGCTGTCTCCTTCGCTTTCTTGTTGCCTTTTCTGTCTGCTTCTGTAGTCTTTCTGCTGTTTCTCATAGACTCATAGACTTTAAGGTCAGAAGGGACCATTATGGTCATCTAGTCTGACCTCCCGCATGATGCAGGCCACAAAAGCTGACCCACCCACTTTCCCTTATCTCAGCTGTTGAAGTCTCCAGATCGTGATTTAAAGGCTTCAAGTCGCAGAGAATCCTCCAGCTTGCGACCCCTGCCCTATGCTGCGGAGGAAGGCAAAAAACCTCCAGGGCCTCTGCCAATCTACCCTGGAGGAAAATTCCTTCCCGACCCTAAATATGGAGATCAGTAGAACCCCGAGCATACAGGCAAGATTCTCCAGCCGGACCCACATTTTACCAGCGATGGCACGTTATTGCCTAATTGACTAAAATCACGTTATCCCATCAAACCATTCCCTCCATAAACTTATCTAGCCTAATCTTGAAGCCAGAGAGGTCTTTTGCCCCCACCGTTTCCCTCGGAAGGCTGTTCCAGAATTTCACCCCTCTAACGGTTAGAAACCTTCGTCTAATTTCAAGCCTAAACTTCCCCACGGCCAGTTTATATCCATTCGTTCTCGTGTCCACATTAGTACTGAGCTGAAATAATTCCTCTCCCTCCCTGGTATTTATCCCTTTGATATATTTAAAGAGAGCAATCATATCCCCCCTCAGCCTTCTTTTGGTTAGGCTAAACAAACCGAGCTCCTCGAGTCTCCTTTCATAGGAAAGGTTTTCCATTCCTCGGATCAACCTAGTAGCCCTTCTCTGTACCCGTTCCAGTTTGAGTTCATCCTTTTTAAACATGGGAGACCAGAACTGCACGCAGTACTCCAAATGAGGTCTCACCAGCGCCTTGTATAACGGAAGCAGCACCTCCTTGTCCCTACTAGAGATACCTCGCCTAATGCATCCCAAGATCGCATTAGCTTTTTTCACAGCCACGTCACATTGCCGGCTCATAGTCATCCTGCGATCAACCAGGACTCCGAGGTCCTTCTCCTCCTCCGTCACTTCCAACCGATGCGTCCCCAGCTTATAACTAAAATTCTTGTTAGTCATCCCTAAATGCATCACCTTACACTTCTCACTATTAAATCTCATCCTATTATTATTACTCCAATTTACAAGGTCATCCAAGTCTCCCTGCAGAATATCCCGATCCTTCTCCGAATTGGCAATACCTCCCAACTTTGTGTCATCCGCAAACTTTATAAGCCCACTCCTACATTCGGTTCCGAGGTCAGTAATAAATAGATTAAATAAAATCGGACCCAAAACCGAACCTTGAGGAACCCCACTGGTGACCTCCCTCCAACCTGACAGTTCACCTTTCAGTACTACCCGCTGCAGGCTCCCCTTTAACCAGTTCTTTATCCACTTCTGGATTTTTATATCGATCCCCATCTTTTCTAATTTAACCAGTAATTCCTCATGCGGTACCGTATCAAACGCTTTACTAAAATCGAGGTATATTAGATCCACCGCATTTCCTTTATCTAGAAGGTCTGTTACTTTCTCAAAGAAGGAGATCAGGTTGGTTTGGCACGATCTGCCTTTCGTAAACCCATGTTTTCTGACAGATGCCTCTCCATCAAGCACTACCCAGTGAAACCTCTCTGGCCACATAGCTCTGTTTCTGGTGGGACTTACGTGTGCCTTTGTTTTGGGCAGTGATGTGCCCATGTTTTGGGTGGAATCTCCTGTTTCAGCTATCTGGTTCCATTAAGGAGCTTATATTTTTTCTTATATTTATTTTGAGTGAAGGGTGGCTGTTATACTTAACAGCTTCAACAAGGTTTAACTCAACCCATGACAATATTCTAGTTCAGAGCCATTGCACTTTGTATTCATGTGTTGCCAAGAAATCCTTTTGGTGCTTAGGAATTAATTATTCACAGAATGTTTGTATCTGCATCTTTCCTTCCAGAAGACAATCAGTGGTATCGTGCCTCTGTTCTAGCATATACTTCTGAAGATACTGCTTTAGTGGGCTACATAGATTATGGTAACTTTGAAGTTCTCCAAGTGGCTAGACTTCGCCCTATGATTCCAAAATTATTGGAGTTGCCAGTGCAAGCTATAAAGTGTACATTAGCAGGTATGAAATGAACTACAAGCTATTGCAGGTGGGATGAAAAATAAAGTTCAATACAGATTTGGGGGGAAATTTTCTCAGAATTTGCCTAATTTAAGACCATATACAGCTACTGTGTGACGGAGGAAGGGAGGGAGGATGAGGTTAATGGTGGAAAGCTACCTGTAGAAAATCAAATTAGCACTTCATAGTGTTAACAGGAACATTAAAATTCATAAAGCTAAAATCCTTTCAAATGTGCATAATAAAGATATCTAGTAAAAAGGAATAAAATATACTGTAAGAGCTGTACTGTCCTCAAATATGCACTTGGGCATTGTGCATATGCCCTTGGTTCTAATTTGTTGAGGCACTGGCTGCAATGACTTTCTTAGGCACCAATTCTTTCTTGGCGCCAGTGCTTTCTTTGAACTGAAGAGGCAGAGACACAGCTGTTCAAAGTGCAGTTTTCTGATAGAGTGTAATCTGCAAAACCGCATCTTTTTCTTCTTGGACAAATCGAATGAAACCGCTTTTTGTTAAATTTGACAGCACAGAATACTTGAATGGTACTTTTTGGCAAACTATGGATCAGATGCTCCCTTGGATCACAGTGGCTTTTTTGAAGCCTCTGAGCATTTTCTTAACATTGCCAGTAAGGAATATTCAATTTAATCCTGTCAAAAGGACAAGGCTGAGATGCTGCTCAGGCTCGAAAGCTTTTTAAAAGAGGAAAACCTTAAAGGATGGCTTGTTCCTTTAGGGATGGAATCCCTGCATATGGGGCATGCCCTGCAAATCACACTGGATGGAATCAGCAATAGATATTTTGGTGTTGCAAGAGGTGCATGTTTTGGAATCTGACTGTTTCTGTGCCAGTATTGCAGTGCAGTTCCTATAAATGGAGCAGTTCATTGATAAGAATGAAGAATAGAGTAGACTAATACCACATGAAACATGGAGATGTTTGCCTTGAATTGAACCAACAGTTGGCACTGAGCCATCTGATACCATACAGTGGGAAGTCTAATGTTAACTTTTTAGAACTACCACCAGAAATCTAAAACACAACATAGGGAAATAGCAAAGTAGAAAACGGTGCTGAAGAGTCTTGGGGATTCCATCTTAATATATGCCTGAGTCCAGTCATTGCATCCTGAAGCCCAATGACTACTGCTTTTCTAGGGGGTTCTTACTTGTCACTGAGAGTGTATTGCAAAACACAAGTATGTCTATACTGGCAATCATCTACAACTACAGTTACTAAGTAACCTTTCTTTTAAGGGTTTCCATCATTAAAACTGTTAAGCAATACAAAAATTGAATCTCTCTTTGCAGTATTGAGATGTGTTGGAGGAGCACTTACCATATCTAACAAGTGGAGCTCTGATATCTAGGCTCTGTCTAGACCAAGGGTTCTCAAACTGGGGGTCGGGACCCCTTAGGGGGTCATGAGGTTATTACATGGGGAATTGCAGCTGTCAGCCTCCACCCCAAAACCCGCTTCACCTCCAGCATTTATAATAGTGTTAAATATGCAAAAAAAAGTGTTTTTAATTTCTAAGGGGGGGTCGCACTCAAAGGCTTGCTGTGTGAAAGGGGTCACCGCTACAAAAGTTTGAGAACCCCTGCTCTAGACACTACCTTAATAGTTCCCTTCAGCATTTTGTAACCCTGACATTAAATCACTGGCATGTGCTGCTACTGATGTGATGCATATTAAAATGGCAAGTAATTTCAACCATTGACAATGTTGTTCATTCTTCATTTTGTGAAGCTGTTTTATGAATTAGTTCAAGAATGGGGGAAGAACAACTCCCAATACCTACAGTCCAGCTTGAAATAAGATAATTCTTTCCTTTAAATTTCACTTTCAGGTGTGAAGCCCCTTTCAGGAACCTGGTCCTCGGAAGCTATTTCTCTGATGAAACAACTAGTGCAAAATAAAATGATCACTATAAGAGTGGTGGACAAAAAGGAGAATAGCTCTGTGGTAGAGATTGCAGATGAATCTGTTACTCCAATAATAAATGTATCTAAACATCTTTTAGAATCAGGCCATGCAGTGAAAGATTCCAAGGATGTCTTAACAATAAATGAAACTGTTAACACTGTGAAGGAAGTAAATGGTAAGTACATGAAAAGTCGCTATAGAAGCTGGTTTTATCTATACTGCAGTACAATAGATGTACAGTAATCTATTGGATGATTGAAATGAGTATGGTCAGTTATGTGGCCAAGATTGGGCATTTAGAATGTACATTTTCTTTCCCTATAATGCTGTCTTTTATGTCTCTGACCCTGTTTTCTTCTCTTTCCCCTTCACCCTTTAGCTGTAGGAGAAACAATAAATAAAATAGATTGGACATGGACTAAGCTGACTCTTAAACAGACAGTAAATGTCTTGCTGTGTACGGTGAACAATCCTGGAGAGTTCTTCTGTCAGATCTTCAAAGATGATGGTAAGTTGTCTCAGCCTTCATTTTTGTGTGCGCTCTCTGTCTTCTCATCCTTAATCTTGTTGCACATTAACTTGTAAAATATTTTGGAATGGGATCAATGTAGTTTTCATGCACCAATGCTCTTAGTGGACTTTTCATACTTAGAGCTTACGTCTCAGCTTCCTAATTAGTTCATAGTAGTCCTGTAGATCTAAATTTGAACATGCATCTTAATAAGGACAAAGATCAGATATCTAGGGACAAAGAATGTTGGTCACATTTACAAGATGGGAGATAGTATCCTGGATGCAGTGACACTGAAAAGGAATTAAGGGTAATTTTAGATGAACGTGAGCTCCCAGTGCAATGCTGTGGCTAGGAGGACTAATACAACCTATAGAGGCCCAGGCAGGGGAATATCAAGTAGGCGTAGGGCTGTATACAGCATTATTAAAACCATTACTGGAATACTGTGTCCAATTCTGGTGTCAGGACTCTAAAAACATGTTCAAAAATTGGAAAGGATTCAGAAAAGAGGCACAAGAATATTTCAAGTGCTGGAAAAACAGTCTTATTGAGCTTAGGTCGAGCTGTCTATTTAGTTTATCCAAGAGAAAGTTAAGAGGTGACATGGCCTACAAGGTGCAAGTACCTGCATGGGGAAGAGATTTCTGATAAGTTTTAGTTGGTCAATAAAATATAACAGGACTAGATTTTTATACATGAATTTATTAATACACCTCTACCCCGATATAACGCTGTCCTCGGGAGCCAAAAAATCTTACCCCGTTATAGGTGAAACTGTGTTATCTCGAACTTGCTTTGATCCGCCGGAGTGCGCGGCCCGGCCCCCCGGAGCACTGCTTTACCGCGTTATATCCGAATTCATGTTATATAGAGTCGCGTTACATCGGGGTAGAGGTGTACTGTTTTACCCTAAATCAGGAGCACCTTGAGATATTTAAATATCTTTCTAAATATGCTCTTAATGGGACCCAATAAATAAGATTGTCCTTCTGCAGGACACGGTCTTATTTTTGCCTGGTAAATCCAAACCATTGACCTGCTGCTTCTAAAGATGTATTAAGTTTGGTTGTTTTTTGTTTTTTACATTCTTCTTAGACTTACTTGCTCTAAATGTACTCAACAAGTCATTGGCAGAATACTGCCAGCAGACTTCTACTAGTGTTTTCAAGCCTTCAGAGGGAGAACCTTGCTGTGCTTTTTTCTCTGGTAAGTAATATTACCACCTACTCGTGTTCATTTTTTCATTTACAGAAATGTCCTTAAATGGAAAATGCATCTTTATCTTTGACTCCGCGAATGTTCTGTTTAATATATAGCTTTCTAAATCTTGTCAGATATTTTGGACATGGTCTTGATGTGTTTGGTGTGTTGCTAAGTTGAACAAGGAAAGAAAATAGATCTGCAGTTGGCAGTGGTAAACCAAGTATATGTGAATAGTGACTCCAGTGAGTGAACAGTTAGGAACCTTTCAGATCTGATATACACTTAAATATATCATAATATTGGTTATTGTTAATATATAGTCTGATTGAATAGAAGTAAACAGTATAGAGAGAGAAGTTTAATAATTACCTTAGAGAAAGTTACTGCTTTTCCAGGAAGTAAATATTGGATTTTCCACTAGTTTGTATGGGATGTTAATAGATTACTTGCATCACTTTTTTTATGTACTTTCATTTCTGGATGAAAACTGTATTGATATTGTGGAAAGGGCTCGATTGCCCATTGCCCTGCACCTTGTGTAGTCACTCAAAGCAGTGCAGAATGAATATAAAATGCTATCATATCAGAATGGCAGTGTTTTATACCTACTTTGAATTCATGTAACCGATTACATACTGTGCAAAGCAACAGAAATTAAGGCCAGTTTTCTCTGCCAAGGAAAGTAAATTAGTTCTGCTTATGATTTAGATAAATGTGGGAAATCACAATTCTTTTAAATCCTAGGTGATGGTAATTGGTACCGTGCTTTGGTAAAAGAAGTCTCTGCAGATGGAGCTATTAAAGTGCAATTTGTGGATTATGGAAATGTTGAGACAGTAACTCCAGATAAACTTCGACAGATCACATCAACGTTGCTAAAACTTCCATTTCAAGGAATTAAGTGTTGGTTATCAGGTAAATCTTCATTTCAAGATGTTTTGGGAAATAATTTCTGCACCTGCTAAGCATTCTGTCATAACTACTCTTTTATATTGAGAAATCAGATGGAGTTTCAGGCATGGTAGACCTTCTAATGTAGCATGTTTTTAACTAAACGTAAAAAAAGAAAAAAATTCAACCATATTTTCTTCTTCTATGTTAAATAGAAGTGATTTCTCTTTGTGAACTGAATGGCAAAGTTTCTCATCACCTGTAAACTTTTCACAATTACACCTCCATTTATGAGAACAGAGACATCTCCTACAGTTTGCCCCATTCTAAGCTCCACCCAAGTTTTTCTTAAGGGCAATGCAGAGCCAAGCCACTCCTGGATACAGGCCAGTACAGAGTGGAGGTGAAGCTATGGTTCTGCCTGCCCTGCCTTGAACTGGAATAAGTCCCCCTAGCACTCAAAGTGAAAGTTTAAGGATCCCATCTTAGTTTAATAAATATTGAAATAGTTATTTGGCAAGGATTCTGACGTTTTCCCTGACCCACCTTTTTCCCAAAAGGAAAATATGGGCTCTCAGGGATACATTCCTAAACTACCACTCCAGTCACAGGCGCCAAGTTTCCTTGGCGCCGGTGGGTGCTCGTGCTGCCCCCGGCCCTGCCCCGACTCCGCCCCCTCCCTGCCCCTATTAGACCCCTCCATAAATCCCCGGCCCGGCCCCGCCTCTTCCCCAAGCGTGCCGCGTTCCTCCTCCTCCCCCCTCCCTCCCAGCGCTTGCCGCGTGAAACAGCTGTTTCGCGGCACAAGCACTGGGAGGGAGGGGGAGAAGCAGGATGCAGTGGCGCATTCAGGGGAGGAGGCGGAGGTGAGCTGGGGCGGGGAGCTGCCGGTGGGTGCAGAGCACCCACAAATTTTTCCCAGTGGGTGCTCCAGCCCCGGAGCACCTATGGAGTTGGCGCCTATGACTCCAATTTATATATACATATACATATACATATACACATACACATATATACATACACACACACACACACACACACACACACGATGAGGAAGAGCACCGGGACTCAAAAACAACTGCTCCCTTCTGTCAATTAATACTCTGCCTTTTTAGTATGTTGCAAACAAGGATGTTAAACTGCTTTACAAACCCTGTATTGCCATGTACTATCCCCTTTTACAGATCACGATGGGAACAGAGGTACAGAGGAGATTAAAAAAAAATATAGGTATATCTCCATATATATATATCTCATAGAACTGGAAGGGACCCTGACAAATCATCAACTCCAGCTCCCTGCCTTCAAGTACTGATTTTTGCCCCAGATCCCTAAGTGCTCCCCTCAAGGATTGAACTCATAACCCTGGGTTTAGCAGGCCAATGCTCAAACCAGTGAGCTATCCCTCCCCCTCATTGATAGCCATGCAGAATCTATTAGGGATTCAGGAATAAACTCAGGATGATTTTTTAAGAGGAATTTAATATTATAAACTTGATGGGGGGACAACTCATTTTGCACTAGATACACTTAGGGTATGTCTACACTACGAGAGTAGTTCGATTTTAGTTAAATCGAATATGTGCAATCGATATTAGAAAGTCGAACGTGTGTGTCCACACTAAGGACAGTACTTCGACTTTGTCAGTCCACACTACCAGGGAAAGCGTCGACATTGGAAGCAGTGCACTGTGGGCAGCTATCCCACAGTTCCCGCAGTCCCCGCTGCCCATTGGAATTCTGGGTCGAGCCCCCAATGCCTTCTGGGGGGAAAAAATGTCTCGAGGGTGCTTTTGGGTAACTGTCGTCATCCAATCGTCACTCCCGCCCTCCCTCCCTCCTTGAAAGCGCCGGCGGGAAATCAGTTCGCGCACTTTTCTGGTCAGTGACAGCGCGGACGCCACAGCACCGCGAGCATGGATCCCGCTGCGACCATCGCTGCAGTTGTGGTCGTTGTCAACGCCTCGCAGCTCATCATGCACCTTTCACAGAGGCAGATAGAGAGAAATCAGGCGAGGAGGCTACGGCAGCGGAGTGAGGACCTGAACTCCGAGAGTAGCACACGCCTGTCAGAAACCACGACACCCAGCGCCGAGGACATCACGTTTGCAATGGGGCATGTGGATTTTGTTGAACGGCGATTCTGGGCCCGGGAAACAAGCACGGACTGGTGGGACCGCATAGTGCTTCAGGTCTGGGATGAATCCCAGTGGCTGCGAAACTTTCGCATGCGGAAGGGGACTTTCCTGGAACTTTGTGAGTTGCTGTCCCTTGCCCTGAAGCGCAAAGACACCCGCATGCGAGCAGCCCTGACTGGTATTTACTTCCCGGACCACAAGATAACTGTTGGGGATGTGGAGATGCCTACAGTGATCCTCGGGGACCCAGCCTACCGGCTAATGCCCTGGCTCATGAAGCCCTATACTGGCGCCCTGGACAGTGAAAAAGAACTGTTCAACTACCGTCTGAGCAAGTGCAGAATGGTGGTGGAGTGTGCTTTTGGCCGTCTCAAGGGGAGATGGAGAAGCTTACTGACTCGCTGTGATCTCAGCGAAACCAATATCCCCATCGTTATAGCAGCTTGCTGCGTGCTCCACAATCTCTGTGAGAGCAAGGGGGAGACCTTTATGGCGGGGTGGGAGGTTGAGGCAAATAGCCTGGCTGCTGATTACGCCCAGCCAGACAGCCGGGCGATTAGAAGATCCCAGCGGGACGCGCTGTGCATCCGGGAGGCTTTGAAAGCCAGTTTCAAGACTGAGCAGGGTACCCAGTGACTTTTAAGTTTGTGGACACAGAGGCTGAACTTGCCCCCGTTTCTTTACCCAGTTACCCCCTTCACCCCCTTCCCAAAAAATAAAATCTGTTCTGTTTTGCTAATGAACACCGTTGTCTTCATTACTGTTTTCGCGGGAATGTTTTAAACCTGGGTTTAGTGTTGTGATGCTAATGATGCTTCTAAACTGCCCTCCACCGCCACAAAGTCACAGAGCAACCCCGCCCCCCCCCCACAGAACATGAAAGCCACCTCCCAGACTGACCAGGGTAACTAGTCACTGCACTGTGTATGTGCCCTGCTGCTGGGCCTGCCCCCTGCTAAAGGTGACTGTCCTGTCTAATTACCAAGCCCCTTCCCCCCCCTTCAGACAGACTCTCCTCCAAAAGAAGAGGATGGAAACAGTAATGAACAGAAACGTATTTTTTATTAACAACCACACATGGAACGGGGGGGGTGAAACTTGGACGGGGTCTTGTGTGAGGCGGGTAGGAAAGGACTTTTCAGATTTTGGGGAATGAGAGCCTTCTAATGCTATAGCTGTCCGCTGGGGTGGAGTGAAAGTTTTCACGGCCCCTGCCGCCCCTCCATGTTTGGACTTTGGGTGAGGGGAGTATGGGACTTGGTGGCGGGGCAGGGCGGTTAGAGAGAGACTGCAGCGGGGCTCTCTCCTCCTGCCTCCGGTCCTGCAGAACATCCACAAGGCGGCGGAGCGTGTCCGTTTGCTCCCTCATTAGTCCAAGCAGCGTTTGAGTCGCCTGCTGGTCCTCCTGTCGCCACCTCTCCTCCCGTTCCATGTTTGCCCGGTGCATTTGGGACAAGTTCTCCCTCCTCTGTGTCTGCTGGGCTGCCTGTGCTCGGGAGCATCCCATTAGTTCAGCAAACATGTCTTCCCGTGTCCTCTTCTTCCTCCTCCTAATGTGCGCTAGCTTCTGGGCAGATGTGGCTGTGGGAATTGGAAAAAGGGAGTGAATTCCTGAGACAGATCAATGTATCTGTGAACAGAGAACATAGTCTTTCTCTGTGAACAAGACCATGCAGAGCACCTATCACACGCGCACTGAGGACAAGGTCGAATTTTCGGCCCTCGCCTACAGTGCCTGTGGTCTTGCTGTGGCGAGCTGAGGAGCGGGGCAGGACACCGGACTTTGTCTAGCTGGCAAACATGGTAAGCCGTAGACTTGTGGCTGCTTAAAACTTTAAGAGTGGCACTGGCCTCCTTTCACATAGAAAGCAATGCGAGTCTCTGCTGGCAGCAATCCTGCAAGCATGAACTCTGCCCCTGTCCCAGCCCCTCGCGGCTGTAAACCGCGTGGCTGTAAACCGGCGGTTGCAGTTCTGTAAAGGAACGGGCAAGCAGTCCCAATACTAACTTTCCCCTACCTAATTCAAAGCAGGGAGTCATGGCAGACATCACCCTCCTGGGGGTCTCGGAGAGCCAGAAGGAGAGGATGCTCCGGGACAGCCTGCAGAAACCGGGGCCATTTGCTGCTATGCTGTGCAAGGCCATGATCCCCGAATACCTGCTGGCGTTGTGGCAGGGAAACGTTTCTTACCACGGGGGGCCTAATAAGCTCTCCCTGCCAAGGAACCTGATAATTAGGCTGGAAAGACACCTGCAGGAGGCCTATGAGGAGTTCTCCCTGGGGGATCTCGCCTCTATCCCCGGACACATCGACCAGTTTTTGGGTTAGGTGCCCTTGGAGGGACAAAAGAGTGGAGCGTCTTGGGCAGTGTAATCATGAAGCGGACATTGTTGAATTTTCTTAAAATAGTTCGGACTATACATTGAAGCGGCCAAAGACACAATAATCATGATACCCTTTGTTCAGATTCCCGTTTTGTTGCACTTTCCTGTTTACATGTTTAGAAGCACTTTACCCATTGTTAATATTTCAAATCTTCCTGTTCTGTTATAAATAAAAGTTTACATACTTGAAAGCACTTTAGCTATTGTTAATATTTAAAATATGCAAGTTCTGTTATAAATAAATGTTAAGATATTTAAAACACTTACTGCTTGATCCTTCCCCTGAATCTGTGTCTGGGGTAACGGCGGGGGACGGTTGGTAGGGGATCTCTGTGAGGGTGATGAAGAGCTCCTGGCTGTCGGGGAAATCAGCGGTGCCAGCGCTGTCGACTGCCTCGTCCTCCTCATCTCCTTCTTCATCTTCCCCGTCCGCTAACATGTCCAACGAGGAACCGGCCGCGGACAATATCCCATCCTCAGAGTCCACGGTCAGTGGTGGGGTAGTGGTGGCGGCCGCACCTAGGATGGAATGCAGTGCCTCGTAGAAACGGGATGTGTGGGGCTGGGATCCGGAGCGTCCGTTTGCCTCTTTGGTCTTCTGGTAGCCTTGTCTCAGCTCCTTGATTTTCACGCGGCACTGCGTTGCATCCCGGCTGTATCCTCTCTCTGCCATGGCTTTAGAGATCTTCTCGTAGATCTTTGCATTCCGTCTTTTGGAGCACAGCTCTGAAAGCACGGACTCATCTCCCCACACAGCGATGAGATCCAAGACTTCCCGATCAGTCCATGCTGGGGCCCTCTTTCTAGTCTGGGATTGCACGGCCATCTCTGCTGGAGAGCTCTGCATCTTTGCCACTGCTGCTGAGCTCGCCACGGTGTCCAAACAGAAACTGCGCTTCAAACTGCCCAGACAGGAAAAGGAATTCAAATTTTCCCGGGGTGTGGCTGGTCAGAGCATCCGAGCTCGGACTGCTGTCCAGAGCGTCAACAGAGTGTTGCACTGTGGGATAGCTCCCGGAGCTATTAGCGTCGATTTCCATCCCCACCTAGCCTAATTCGACATGGCCATGTCGAATTTAGCGCTACTCCCCTCGTTGGGGAGGATTACAGAAATCGATTTAAAGAGAGCTCTATGTCGAACTAAATGGCCTCGTGGTGTGGACAGGTGCAGGGTTAAGTCGATGTAACGGCGCTAAAGTCGACATAAACGCCTAGTGTAGACCAGGCCTTAGATTACACATTCCGTATGGCAGCAAAAGTGTTCTTTCTAGCTAACCGGACATTTTTAAAATTTGGGTAAAACTAATAGAGGGGTTTTTTTTTGGTTTGTTTTTTTAAATTGTGAATGAGAAGATATTTTTAAGTCTTGTCTTGTTTCCTTAGGTGTAAAACCTGTTAACAACGAATGGCTCCCAGAAGCCACAGCAAGATTTCAGATGTGCGCTGCAGGAATTAAACTTCAAGCCAGAGTAGTTTCTTTCAACAAAAGTGGTGCTGGAATAGAGCTCATTGATAATTCCACAGGTTGTCCAAGAATAATCAATGAAATTTTAATCAGTGAAAAATTGGCTTTAAAGGAAGGTCTGCCAAATAAAGATGGGCTACCAAATACGTCTGCTGAGAAAATAGAGCCTCAAGGTGACTAAAGCAGTCTTGTTAACTTCTTTTTGGATTGGAATGATAAGAAAATTGGGTATCCCTCAATCTGTCTCTCCTTTTGACCATGTCTAAAATGTTATAAATATATCTATCTAGTTTTAAATTCATCATGAAGTTTGCGATTGGGTGCAAGTTGTCCTGCAGGTGGCATGATAGGCAAAAGATAGGTAAATGTGCAAGTCATTGGGGTTGTGTGTTAAACAACTATTACTTAAATAATACTGTAACAAATTATAGCAAACTTGAAGTATGACTAAAGAGTCTATTGCATAGTGGGTTCTAGTGTCTTATTTTCAGCAATATTAAAATTAACTAGCATTGATTGATTGATTGTAAGTAAATTAGATATTTTCTGACGAACAGAATATCCAGTGTATTAATGTCAGTGTTCAGTTTTCATTTCACTGCGATCACACTAAAATGACTGGAACGTGTTGATAGACAGGAGATGTTACTTAAGTTAATAGACATGTGCAACTGTGATGAACTTGTATATATGTATAGAAGTGCTTTGCTCTGTGCTTTACTAGTTCGTGTCTAATTACTTTAGAAACCTCTTCTGAGCAGTGGCAGACAATAGAATTGCCTATCAATGAAACTGTATCAGTCCGTGTAATGGAAGTGATAAGCCCAGACTTGTTTTATGCTCTACCAAGTGAAACCAGAGGTAAGAAATGAAGAAAATCTCTTGGTTTATCTAGTTGGTAGCAATATATTTGGAAGACGGATGCAAGATGTTATAATAATTGAGAGACTACCAAAATACATTTCAGACAGTAAGAAAAATGCAGAAAATATAAATATTTTTATTAAAAAAGCTTTGAGGTAACTTAGGTAAAATCAAGCCTAATAATAAGCTTTCCTATGGTATGTATATTTATCATGCTTGAAACTTCATGCAGTACTAACAGATTCTGTTCACTTATTTTTAGTAGATAAAGAGAAGTTGTGTAGGTTGATGACTGAACTGGTAGAATATTGCAACACTCAGAACAGTCACTCCTTCAGACCAAAAGTTGGTGAAGCCTGTTGTGCCAAGTTTGCAGGTGAGAGAGAATTCTTGTTAATTCTAAAAAAGGAAAAGTGATCTGAATTGCAAAACTTCGGCATGTTATAAAGGATAGATGGCAAAGTCCAAACCTTTAAGAAGAGAGAGATTTGTAAAATCCTTTGTATGCCACAAAACATTGCCATATTTCATTTTGTATATGGCTTCTCTTTAGTTACAAACAATATGTGACAGTCTAGGCTAGAAAGTAGAGAGTGCCTCATTCATCTGAAAATCCATGGAGTTTTAGGAGGGGCAATATAATCTAAACTGGAATTCAGTGAGGCTACTTGAGTGAACTCCCCTATTCCTAAGCAGTTTTATATATTATCCAAAATAAATTTCTTCAGGAGCAACCCAGAGGGGTGACTTGACTGAGTCATTTATTTCAGTATTGTTTCAAAGAGAGTTCTGCCAAAGAAATCCATAAACATCACTTTCTGTAGCACTTGAATTTTCCTTGGAGGTCTCCTATCCAAGTACTGACCAGGCCTGCACCTACTTACATGATTGGACATTGGTGTCAAGATCACAGTCCAAAGTGGTATAGCTGCAAGCAACAGAACATTCCTGTAAAGTGAAGCACAAGGGTGTCAGATCTGTCAACGGTTCCAGGAGAGATGGACAGAAATACTACAAAACACAGTGTTAAATCTAGGCACTGAAGTCAAGTACTAGATGAAAAGATGGCCAACATAGTTGAAGTTCTGATTTACTTTACTATTTGAGTTGGGGGATTAAAAGAGATGTTGAGGAATTTATGTCCCTTGGAAGTAAATAGAAGCTAGCACTCGTGGTAGGTCAAAGGAGTAGGTAATTAAAAAAAAAATACATAGGATTTGTATAAACACCCAGAAAACACAATTAATGTTACAGCAGAGATGCTATAGTTAAGACTGAGACAGCAGTTAATAAAATGTAATTGCTGCTTTAAGTGGTGCAGTTGATGCTTCATTAAATTGTGTGAAGATCCCTCTTTCCCCTCCTTTTGTGCTGGGATGTGAAGAACTCTCCTTGTCAAGGCCAGGTCATGGGCAGTCAGACTGTAGTAGTTGCAGCCAGAGTCCACAGTCATGCAACAGCAGTTAGGAGTCAGCTGAGTCAGGATACCGGGAGATCAGAAGACAAACAAGAAATTGGAACCAGAGTTAAGCCAGATCAGGATACCAGGAGGTCAGAGCCAGGAAACAAACTGGAGGTCCAGAACCACAAGTCAGATGCCAGGAGTCAAGCCGGGTAAAGACGCCAGGAAATCAAGAAGCATAAGGCGCACAGTCCAGAGCAGGGTGGAGCTCAGTTGTTTTGGATACTTTTCTGTGCTTGCTGCTGGCTTAAGTAGGGCCAGTGGGCCAATCAACTGCCAAGGGGCTTGACCAGCTGGACCTCGGGACAGAACCTCGACTTGGGGTTGGGCTTCATGAGTCCTAGATAAGCCATTGTGAGCGGGCTGCCATGTAGAGGGTTGGAGTATGGTTGCTCCCATGCACCCTGTGGACTGGGTTTGAGACACATGGGTCATGACATCATCCCTTCCCCTAGGGGCACCCTCTGGGCAACATGGGTCTAAGTTTCTCAGGATGGCTCCTATGGAAGGCCTGAACCAGGGTGAGAGCATGAATGTTTTCAGCTGGCTCCCAAGTGTGTTCCTCCAGGCTGTAACCTTCCCAGTCAATCAGTACCATAATTTGCCCAGCTTAATCTTAAAGTTGAGGACTTTGTGCACCTAAGTTCTCTCTAGGCTGCGCGGCCATTAAGGGCTGCACGCGCAGGCAGGTAGTGGGGAGAGACGCCTCTGCCCTGGCCCCGTCGGAGCTGCCGTGGCCAGGGAGAGGTGTCTCAGTCCTGGCCCCCGGGCTGGTGGGGGGAATCCTCTCTCTCCCCGCCACAGCCCCGGGGAAGCCTGCACCCCAAGCCCCTCATCCCTGGACCCACTCCAGATCCCGCATCCAAATACTGTCACCACTCTTTGAAGGCAGTCTTAATTGCCAAGTGCTTTTTGTCCAAGATCTCAGTTTCATTTAGCAAGGATAAGCTTCCTCCAGTAGTAGGTGATGGGGTGCAGTATTTGGTTGGTTCCATGCCTCTGAGAGAGGATTGCCCCAATCACTGTGATAGACGTGTCGACTTCAACAACAAAACTTGCATCATGTTTGGGAGGGCCGATACAGGAGCAGTGAAGGCAAGCTTTAGCTGCTCAAATGCACACTGGGCCTCGGGTGATCTGTGGAACGGAACATTTTTCCAGAGCAGGGTGTGGCTTGCTTTTTTTTTTTTTTTTTTTAATTCAAAATGAACCTCTGCTAAAAGTTTGCGAACTTTAAAAATATCCTCGATCTTGCATGTTGCAGAGGGCTGCCCAGTTGCAGGCAGACCAGACCTTGCGTGGATTGAGCATAGACACTCTGTTGTCCTAATCTGTGCAGGATTGTATGGATGTGAGTGGTATGTTGGTCCATATCATCTGAGAAGATCAATATATGATCTAAGTATACTACTGTGAACTGGTTCAGTAGGTCTCATAGCATATTGTTAATGAAGTGCTGGAATGTTACTGGGGCATTAGTCAGTTCGAATGGCATAACTAAATATTCAAAGTGCCTTTCAAACCTGCTATGTCCAATCTTCCATTCATCCCCCTCTTGGATGTGGACAAGTTGTAAGCTCCCTGGAGATCCAGTTTAGTGAATATGCGAGTTGCCCCCATGCTTTCAAACAATTCAGGGATAAATGGTAGTGGGTAACGGTTCCAGGTTATCTGATTTAGGGCTTGGTAATCGACACAGAAGCAGGGGCTTTTACGGAAAGGACTGGGACACTGGCTGGTGAAGTCGGCTTGCGAGTGAACCCCGGGGCCAGGTTATCTTGGAGATATTCTCCCAACGTAGCCAGTTCAGGCTCTGACACGGCGTATATCTGCCCAAATGGAATCTTCACCCCGGCTGGAGTTCTGTGGGGCAATCGCAGTTCTCGTGTCGGGGGAGGCTTTCTGTATTCTTTTTCTCAAGGACATCAGTATAGTCAGAGTATTTGGGGAGATGTTCCATAGTTCCCTCAGTAGGTGTTTCAATGCAGGTGACTACACCTACTTGAATCCTCTAGGGTCTGGGTGCAGCGCTTCCTGGTCTCTGGCTGTGCTGTCATCAGAATTATGATGGGAAAGTGACCACCTGTTCTCGCCAGTGAATAAAAGGATAATGAATGGTTATCCAGGAGATGCCAAGGATCAGGGGGAAATGCTGGGAATGGATCACACTGAATTGTATTATTGCTCAGTGTTCCTGACATAGGGGGACAGTCTCCTCCGCGACTGGACCTGAAGACAGCAGGGATGATCTGTCAATTGTGTTAATCAAGTCAGGTACAGCCCTGTGTAGCAGGGGAATCTGTAGGGCCTGAGCTGTAACTGCATCCATAAAATTGTCTGCTGGACCTGATAGATTCCCCTCTAACACATCCTCATCACTCAGGGGGTCCCTTGGGATGCGCAGCACCTACAAATGGGAAGCCCCAAGATGGGGCTGAGGGTGCGTTTCAGTGAGGACTAGGATACGGGTCTGTTTTCCCCAACCTCCTCGGCTCTTCTACTGGGCAGGCCAAGATGGCATGGCCAGATTCGCGGACTAGTTTGTCTTTGATTTCTTCCTGCATGCGCCTTGGAACTGGTACAGCTGCTCTGCTTCATTCCACTCTGTATCTGCTGTGAGGCAGTGGAAGTGTGCTGTGTAGGAGGCCTCGGTGCCTTGCCCCTGCCAGAGTCTCCTCAGGGCAGCCCCTTGGCCATTCGAACTTGGTGTGGGTCATCCAAGATGGCTGATATCGACTGGAGAAAGGCATCCCAGTTAGACAGCACTGGGCTATGGCCTTCCAGTGCCGGGGGTGGGGTGGGGGGGGATCTAATAAATTTCCTGGCAGCAGGCTGATTACCAAGGCCATTATCAGAGGCATAGATTTTGGTACACATCAGAAACAAGGTGGCACTGGTTTGTGAAGCCCCCAAACTGCTGGCGGTTCCCGTTGAATGGTTCAGGAAAGGGTATTGCAGGCCCCTGGTTGGGGCAAGGAGCTGTAGGTTGTGTTCACAGCGCAGTATTCTCAGTGCTGAGCTGCCTCACTTGCTCCTGTAGCCGCTGGTTGTCCCAGGCCAGCTGTGTTACTTGGGCCTGCAGTGCTTGATTTTCTGCCTGGAGGCAGGGGGCTCATTCAGGCAAGTCAGTACACCTGGTGGCTGTTGTGGTGCAGTTGGGTCCAACCTTCTTGCACCAGGCTCAGTCCTATAGGGTTATTGTGGTCCAAACAAGTAGTAGTCAGAGCCAGAGTTCACAGTCACGGGACAGGAGTTAGCTGGGTTAGGATACCGGGAGATCAGAAGCAAAAGACAAACTGAATATCAGAACCACAAGTTAGGAACCAGAGTCAGCCTGGGTCAGAATGCCAGGAAATCAAGCAGCAGGAGCAGGAAACACAAGGCACACAGTCCAGAGCAGAGTGGTTTGGACAGCTTCCCTTTCCTGCTGCTGGCTTAAGTAGAGCCAATGTGCCAATCAGCTGCTCTGGGGCTCAGAGGTGGAGCCTCATCCTGAGGCTGGGCTTCATGGGTCCCAGGTAAGCCATTGCAAGCAGGCTGTCATGTTAAGAGTTGGAGTGTGGTTGTCCCCATGGATCCTGTGAAACTGGGTTCAAGACCCATGGGTCATGACTCTCCTTTATTTCTTGTGCCAGATTTTCCTAGTATCACTGAGCTGTGCAGCCAAGGAGCTAGAACAGGCGCCAATAGAGTCAGTGTATGTTCACATGGCCTTACCTGGGTGACCTTGATCTTTTGAGATTTGCAAGACATAAGGTGGGGAGGAACATTCCCACACTCTACTTCAGGGTGACTGGGCTAGCAAACTCAAATCTCAGATGGAACGATTTGGAGGAAACTCAGTCTTTCTCTCGTATCCCATGCCCTCACCAGGACTTCTATAGATTTTCCTGTCAAAAGGCATACGATCCAATTTTGAACACCAACTGTAATTCGTAACTAAGAAAAGTTGAGGTTTTGGAGGGTTTGAAACATCTGTAACGTAACTTAGTTCTTTTCTGATGTTGATTTTCTTTTTAAAAAAAATTAGTACTTTTAAATGGCAGTGTTTCGTTTTCTGTTTTTGTTTTTACAGTATCCATGTACTCTGAATAATCTCCTTTAAATTCTGGAAAGCTATATAGATTAGATGGATTATTATGTAACTCTGGATCCTAGTCTGAAAGTAAAGCACTTCAAATGTTTTGTTCCAATTTTTTTTCAGGTGATGGCCATTGGTACAGAGCTATCGTTCTGGGAGTTTCTCAGTCTGAGGTGAAGGTAGCGTATGCAGACTATGGATGCACCGAAACTCTACCATTCTCTAGAGTGCTGCCGATCACTGCACATTACTTGAAGCTCCCTTTTCAGATAATTAAGTGTTCGCTTGCAGGTAGAAACACAACCAAACACCATGTTGTCTATTTAGCAGTGAGACTATTTGGTCATAATTTTTTTTAGGTTGTTACCATTAACCCCTCTGTTATATTGTCCATCTAGATGAGGACTCAACAAAACAGTACACAGATTAGCATTGTGAAGTCTATTTTCAAACCCAGAAAGACTAATTTGAAAATTTTCGGAATTAGTTTAGGTACTGCAGGAAAAAATACTATAGACAACTAGAAAACTGGGTTGCTCCTAATTGAATGATAACGCTTGGTTTTTTTAAAAGTTTTGTAACATTTTCTAGGTTTTAGTGGCATTACATAATTTAAGATTTAAATGATGGTGTAGAGGACGTAGCTTAACTATTTACAATCTAAACTAGAACTCAGTTGTCTCTCATTTTATTTTTTCCAGGAATTATGGAATGGTCTCCATTAATAATAGATTTGCTAAAAACATTAATATTGAATAAGTGTGTCATGATCACAGTGAAAGGGATCAATGAGAATATTCATGCAGTATCTGTGGAGAAATGTTTTGAAAACAGTAGTCTAAGTATAGCCGACAAATTAGTAATGGAAGGTTTAGCCAAATATAGCAACTCTGGAAATCAAAGTATGCTTCACCAAGGTAACTGTTTTTCACTTAAAATATTCTCATTCTTAAATGTATTTAGTGTTCAAAAATGAGTTGTGTGCATCCATAACTAATGTCCTTTGTACTTCTAAAATCTCATTGTATTCAGCCAATTAATGCGGCAATAATAATGTTTTACTGATCAGTTTCCTGTTCATTTTTTTTTCTTGTAGCCCATGGAAATGAGGCTAGTTGCTGTTGCACAGAATTAAAAAAGCAAGTAAGTAAGATTCAGCCTAAACTTACATTTTTCTCTTCCAAATACTGATTATTTAAAAAAAAAAGGCATGGAAAAGGTGGGTTTTTTGGTTTGTTCGTTTTGTTTGTTTTTGTAATTTGTGGCTGGCTATAAAATTGAAAAAAGATTTTCTAAAAAATATGAACTTTCCTATTTTATGTTTTACATGGTCAAATAATTCAGAATGTCATGCAACATGGAAAATATAGGTTGACTGTATAGTCTTGGTCAATTCCTAGTATATCACAGATGCATGTAAAAAATGAATGATCTGGGTATATATGAATGCTATGAGAATCTACTGTGAATATTCTTCAATGTGTTATACGTCATAAGTACTTCAAGTAGCTAGCCAGAATTGGCTGCTGCTATTAAGATTTTGGAGTTGGACTTATTTTTATCTTTTTAAAAGAAAACCACAAAATATTTATCCCCAGCACTGAAATTGCTTACTATGTATCTGTAAGAAAAAGTACAGTACAGTACCATTACTCGTTTTATAGAACTGACTTGCTGACATGAAAACAATATTCAGTTATGTCTGTAGGATTATTAAAATGAATTTAATTAAAATTCTAGGGACTGTTGCATAGGAATTAAGGCTATGTAAAGCTGGCAGAACCTGCAACCTTTAAAGAAAAGATCATTTATTAGAATATTATAACAGCACCATTATATTGTCAAGGGACTACCAGCCTTTTCATATAACTAAGGGTTAATAATGTGCCTATGAAAAAATTAACTGTGGGTGCAACTTGGCATTCATAATATCTCCACGCTTGTATTTTTTAAAAGAATCTTATGAAGTCTGTTGCAGGTAATAAGCAAACCTAGATTTTGTTTTGCTTTTATAAAAACAAGTGAAATCAGTGTTAAAATCTTACCTTTGGAGTCTCAAAGGCCCATTCTCATTTTTAAGAAGAAGCCCTACATTTAGTGAGAGTTAATATCTTTTGAGCGGGAGGTAGAACCAGAAGCATTTGTGGGTTCTGACTGCTCTGATGACTTTGAGGGGAAAGGAGAGTGTTTCTACTGAAGAGGGGGTTGTCACGGAAGTCGGGGAAGTTCAGGCATTTAGAGGCTGGTAGAGAGTAAAACCGTCTTGTTACTAGCTTACTCTTGCTCCTTCCCTGTCCCACTACAGAGGGAAGCAAAATCATTTTCTCCCAGGTAGCCCTTTGAACTGTAGCCATGAAGAATCCAGCCAAATTTCTGCGTCCAGCCCTATGAATGACTCCTCTGCTGCTTTCGTTGTGGGGGACGGGAGAGGGAGAGTGGGGGACAAGCCATGGAAGGGGTCTGGCTCTGAATCCCCTGAGACAAATGGAGGAAAGACAGACTTAATACACTTCAAAGGGCTTCCAGGAAGTAACTCTAGAGGTAGGTAGCACACCACTGAATGGGAGCAAGGAGAGAACTTGGTGACAGGGCTAGGTTCACTTTCTATTGGCCTGGGCCATTGATCTGCTGACGACATCATCTCTAGCACCTCATCAGAGCTCTCCTTGGCGGTGTCTTTAAAAAAATAAATAAATAAATAAAAATTGAGCGTCAGCCAAAATCATTTGATGCACCATGCTGTATTTTTTCACAAAATAGGGAAAGGTAATTGTACATTCACTAAACTAGAATGGGAACCCAGGCTCATTTGTAGTACCTAAAACTACTTTTAAAAAGTGGCTCTCAAGTTGATTTATTTAATTTTAAAAATGAACATTTCCATAATACTTTACATGGCAACATGCTTGCTGCTAATCTCTCTGTCCTTCCCCCACAGATTGAAAAACATGAACAGATCCTCCTCTTTCTTTTAAATAACCACGTGGCTCAAGATAAGTGTAGTGAAATGAAAAAATTATTACAACACTAAATCTTGTAGGCATGATGTGTGTGTTATATGCTTATACCCGTAACACTGTGTTGCCAATGTTAATGAAATTGCTGCTGCTCACCGCTCTTATTCCTAGAATAGTGGCTGTGTTCAGGAACAAAAAAAAGCTTGATTTCTTTTGTAGAAATTGTTTTGCTGTTAAATGCTGTTGGAATGTATCTGTACATATGTGAAATAAGAAATTGTACATTTGCACTGTCTGGATCAGAGCAAAGCTAGATGGAACCAAATTAAGACGTGAAGCCTCTGGCTGTTAGTGCAGTTCTTTTGAACGAAGGCAATACTTTTTCTTAAGCAACTGTTTTTATAAGAAAACTCTTCACTTGCAAACCAAAAGTATTGTAAGAGAACTTAGTGAAAACTATTCAGTTTTCATTTGCAAGAGGGAAAAATTGGATTTTTGTTTTAGAAAACTCAACTTCATTTTTACATTTAATGTATAGCAAACACAAATTTAAGTTTGAAATAAAAATTCATGTGAAATTTTAGGTAAATGATTTGTCATAAAGAATAACAGTACAGATAGATACTACTTTTTTCATTTGGTCTACTTAATGTTCTGTGTCTAACTTACGGTTAGATTTGTTTAAAACCATATTTTCAACCTTTTATTTTTCCTTACTGTTTCCTCCAGCCACTTGAGGTAATATGAACAACCAAACTTGATTTTTAATTGGCATGTAAGGTATCTCTTTTACCTGCAAAATCATCCCTTTTTTTCAGATTGTTATTCAGCAGTTCTGCTAGGCATTGTTTCGTGGTTAGAGCAAGGAATGGGCTCTCAGAACTCTTGGGTTCCCCATCAGACTTTGCTGCTAAATTTAGATAAGTCACTTAACCTCTCCATCTGTTTCTGCATCTTTATTTTATTAATGGATAAAGTTCCTGTATATGCTCAGATGCTGTATCAGTGCATAGTATTTACCCCCTTCATTTGAAAGCATACATCACATTCACAATTTGGCACCTTTATTGACAGTCTCAGCAGATTAAACCAAGGGATCCGTAGACATGGAGATTGAATTGCTCTCAACTTTAGAGCTAGTTTCCATGTTTGGATGGAAATGTGTATTTCCATTGGTCATGTGCATCTGTTTTGTAGAGACGTAAGGACTTCAGTTTACAGTGCTGCCAACTGCTGTGCTCCTGAAAAGTATCAGATTAACTTGAAGGAGTTGGAATTTTTAAACTGTTACTTTGCTTGTGCTACCAGACTTTGTTTTCATTCCTCTTGATAAACTTTGAGCAAAGTTTTGATTTCCTTAAAATAGGGGATTTTTTTTTTACCACTTTGTGTATGGCAGTAAACTATTCCTTACCCTTGTAAATTCAGGATGTCTATGAAAAGAGTCAGTGTAGTCCAATTCCACCAAGTCTATTAGAAACCTGATCCTTTAACACACCTCAATGATGTAAAAACTCTCGATGTGGATAAGTAGTTACGCAGAAGGTTGGGAACTTCTAGTGTTTCACTAAATGGTGAATCAGCAATGTTCATGAGTTTGTTTTGCCCTAAGCACAGGGTGAATCTTCCACTGAGAAATAAATTCCATTTGAACACTTATCATATCCAGTCAGACAGTTGGCTTTTATTTGAAACTGCATTATAGCATTTTCCTTTGCTGGATGTCAGATATGGAAAACATACCCTAGGTTATCCCCCTCTCTAGTTTTTTTTGTGTGAAATACTTATATGGACCAGCAGACAGAACTGGACCCTATTTTAATGACATTAACTTACGCATTATCAAGGAATAAGTGCATTTTTGCATGTTACTGTTATCACTTACAGCTCCCCTCTCTTTCTCTAAAAACATTTGGCTTCTGGTTATGAGACTCTGAGTATATGACCTGCAAAATCCAAAATATGCCAAGAAAATAACATGCTATTGATGTTCAGATGAATAAGAAGATAGTACAATGTAGCCTCACAAAACATTCCTTTGGAAGCCAAGGTTAGTATGTAGCACTTGTATAGCTCTTATATTTTCAAGCACTTTACAGACATTCAGAACCAAATGTGTTACAGTTGAACTATTAATGGTCAATAAAAAGTTCAGCTTCGGAGGAGTTCAACATAAGTATTTGAAGGTGAACTAAAAGGCTTTTTTACAGCCAAGACGCAAGTTAGCTTCCCATATTTTTTGCGGCAACAGTTACTGACCTCACCAATAAAAAAAACAGAAGGGAGCAACAGTTCCCGTATGGCATTAAGGACAAATTCTGTCTCTCTACGTGGTTCCCATTTATGTCAATAGGAAGTGGTGTATGCATGTGTGCGCTTAAGTTGTTTTTAGATCTTGGTGGATAAGTAAAGTAGGAGACGATTTTCTTAATGTGTTAAGATCTTTAGTTTTAACATCTCAGAAGCATGACCATATTCCTAACTAACCTCAATGTCCTGAGATAGGGTCCCTGTCTATGGGCTATCCCATGAATTAACATTCCCGGTCTCCCCCATCCCCCTGTGTTAATGACTCCCACTTCAATGAGTGGCATCTGTACCATCTGGTTATCTCTTGTATCCCAATGTGGGGTTACCGGGATCACTTTTGCTAGACTTCCCTCTGAGGTAAGCCCCCAACCTATTACACAGTTGTAAGTTAGCCTGTAACAGATATATAAAAAACTGTTGATCTCTGAGGCAGCTGAGCTAACCTAGCAACTCCGGACCCTCCCCCAATACCATGGGTCCCCATGTGTCCCCAAGCTCTGTGGCTAAATCTGTTGCCCCACAAGTTTCAGTAGCTAAAGCTCTGGGGTGCTGCAGAAAGTGGCCGCTCTCCTGCATCTTGTTTTTAGCCTCAGTAGGAAGCAGTAGGCCATATCCATGTGCTGTGCCATTCTCCCCTCTAAGATCCCCACATGCAGCATTGTAGGAGAAGTGGTTAAAATTACCATTCCCATATTGCCTCCCCCTTCCCCCACACTGGAAGGCCCAGCCCCTGGGTGCAGCACCCTGCTGTCCCCAGCCATGCCCGTTAAGCCTCTCTCCCTCGAATTCTCCTACCCTTCAACCATCCCTTGGTGTCAGTCCAACTCACCAACAATGACTCTGTCTCCTGCAGTTGTAATGCTCTGCTTCTTTGGTCCCAGAGGTTGTTCATCCTAGAGGTCTGGTTCTGCTTGTTCTGTAAGCACCCTGTAACTTTAGAATTGCTACAGAAAGAGCTTCTGCTGCAACAGTATGCGTAGCTTCAATTAATTCTTGGCCTGCTTCCCCAGTCTTCAATGCTTGTTGCCCTGCACCAGCAGTGGTCCCCCCCCCCCCTCCTCATGGGAGGAAAGAATGCCCAGATGATTCCTCCCACCCACTTCATCTCCCATACTGCCCACAGGAGTACAGACGGGGGCCCCACTTTCTCCCCCTCTCAATTGGGCCCAACATGCTGGGAAGGAGGGAATCCTCTTCCCCCCCCCCCTTCTATTACACAGAGGGGCTGGTTGCAAATGAAGACGTTGCTGATGCTGCCAGCCCAGCTGGTAAAGAGGTACCTCTCCATGGCTGCATGGGATATAAATACCCCATGAAACCTCACTTTTGCAGTCAGCAGAAAGGACCAGGTCAATGCTCACCCTAACCTAGCTCCAGTGGCTTCCTGCCCTTCCAATCTATCCCTGTACACTTCCCCTTCTCCCCGTCTGCTGCAATGGAGCCTTTTAAATGGGCAATGCCCCTTTTCACCAACTAGCTGGACAAAGACCCACTTGTATAAAGATTGAAGTGGGCACATGAGTTCTAACATCTTCTCAGAAGTGAATAAAACTTCAGCTAACTTCAGAAAATACTTTGCACTTATATAGCACTTTTCATCCAATGATATTAAACGACTTTACAAAGGTGGGGAATAGGCATTATTTCCATTTTCTAGATGGGAAACTGATGCACAGAGAGATTGTAACTTGCCCAAGATCACACAGCTAGTCTGTGGCAAAATTAGGGCTAGAACCCAGGTCTCCTGACTCATGGTTATGTTCTAACCACTACTTCCCTCCTCCTACAGATGGAAGACATGGTAGACTATTCTGTTCAGATTTACAATGCCCACTCTCTGCAACCTTTTTGTTTGTTTAACAATCTGAACATCTGTTTGTTCACATTTTCTCATGCACGTTACAGGTTCTCCAGTACTGTGAGGTCCCTCTAGCACTGTTGTTTTTCTATTTCTCTTTTGCACAGTACAAAAATAACGGCAAGTTAATTTTGAAATGTATGGGGTGTATACGGAGAGATTGTACAAATAATACTGAATATATGAGTTTTGAATTACAATCTTTCCTAGTAAATGGTTCCATTCCAGTGCTTTTTTTATGTAAAATCTCACTTGCTGAAGCATCATAGTTTTATCCATGAAGGCTTTTCAAAGGTTAGAAATAGTCGGTTTGCTCCTTTCACGATTGTGTGGCACCAGTGCGAACTTAAGCTTGTCCTTCACATGATTTTGCATTTACTGAGCTGCTGGATGCAGATAGTATGTAAGCATGGTGTGAAAGAATTGTACATTTCAAACAGTTGTGACCTTATTTAAACTTTACTCAGCTTTAAATTTGAGGATGCTACTTTTTGTTGTATTTCAAAGACCAATCTTGAAACGCTGTACATACTCTGTATGTTACCAGGAGTAATAAAGCTATTTCACGGTCTAGATTTCATTCCATTTGTATGGAGTTAATCTGTTGAAAATTAAGCCCTTTCCTTTTTCTCTCCAAAATTGGTGTTTACATCATTAAAGGTTAAATTTTGCCATTGAATGCATACATGCAATTCCCTTTGAAGTCGATAGGAATTTATATGCACACATCCAAAGGCAGAATATGTCTCTAAAGTGTCTCTGAATTATTTATTTGTATTTATATTTTTGCCATCAAATTCGCACATCACAAATGGGTTGTTTGGAAATTGAGACAGAATGGAGTTAACCTGAATGCCATTGTTGAGAGTATATTACAACTCTCATTTTGTCTTTTAAATGCAGCCT